CTATAATATATAAAAATTGAGGCTATAAGCCTCTGAGAGCGTCCACATAGGATTTAAAAACACAATATTACTGGTCCATGTAAGCATCTCAATATTAGGAAAGTTTCCAAATTTTAAATAACCAATAATATCATTCCACATCATTATATAAAATAAGGTCTATTTGTTAAAATTAATTAATCATCTTTTTATATTTCAAGAAAGTTTCCTAATTCCAAAATAACCAATAGTATCATTCCACATCATCATATAAAATTGACTATCTTAATTTGATTAGTCTACATAAACATTTACGTGATTAAAAAGAAAATTTGATTTTTAAATATGTAAGATATAAGAAAATTAAGTATATATGATTTTAAACAACCAATAGTATCATTCCACATAATTACTAAAATTAAGTAATTATTTTCCTTTTTATATTTTAGAACAGTTTATTAATTAAATACTTTAGAAAATAAATAAAAGTATATATTTTCTAATTACAATAAAAAAAAACCTTTGTCATGTAAATTGGTCATATTAAATTTTAAAAAACTAATATTATTAGTACACATGAGCTTATTTAACACTAATATTTTTTTTGCTAAGACAAGAACAAAAGATATGAAACCAAAAAAGAACACATAGGAGGAATAAAGAAGATCATAACCGAAGATGAGTGAAAATAAATAAAAAATCAAATAAGAATAAAAAAGAAATCAAAGTAGGAAAAATTACAGAAGAATAAATTTACAAAAAAACATAGAAACAAGAGTGAAGAAGGCAATGAAACCAAACAAGAACACAAAGAAATAATAAACAAGAGCAAAGACAAAGGAAAGCGAAGCCCGAAGAAGAGCAGAAACGAAGATGAGTGAAGATAAATATGAAACCAAATAAGAACAAAAAAAAATCAAAGTAGGAAAAATTGAAGAGACTAAATAAATAAAATTTAAAAATATAGAAACAAGAGTGAGTGAAGAAGGAAATGAAAAACCACAATGTGTGTCGATTAGCTTTTCTTCAAATAAATTTTATACTCCTAGAAATCCAACATAAATATTAGTATTAGGTTATCTACAATATTATTAGTTTTTGTAGCTAAAATTGTTAGACGTACAATTTATTTTTGAAGGCTTAGCTAGATAGTGAAAAAAATTTCTACCTAAGATTAAAGAGGTTAATATTAAACATATTTACAAAAAGTATAGTCATGGAGAATTTAAAGCGAAGAACAACTAATGCATAGAAGAAGAGGAAGTTGGAATAAACATACTCTGGAGAAACGCAGCATTTTCGATAGAAAATATGAATCATAGAAGAAATAGAAATAAGAACCAAGAAAAGCAAAGAAAAAAAGGTTGATGAAGAAAAGAAAAGACGAATAAAACAAAGAACGAAAATATAAATAAAAAAACCCACATAATATAAAGCTAAACCAAGAAACCAAATAAAAAGATGAACCAAAGAATATGAAAATTGAAAGCTATGCTTAACTATATCATTATGATCGCATAAACTGAATTATTTGTATTATTATTAGGCATTGGTTAGTATATGTCTAAATATATATTTGTATATCTCTAACTTAATTTTATTTCTATGAATCTTTTACATTTTTAAATTTGGTTTAGGGTATCAGATAGTAAAAAAATTATTTTACCTAATTAAATTAAAGATTTCTAAAAAGGATAAAATCGTGAAACAAATTCCAGCAGAAAATAATCTAGAAAAAAAATAACAAAAAAAAAAGTAAAACTCTAGCAACTTCGACCGTCTGAACTAATCATAGAAGAAACATAAGAACAATAACCAAGACGAACACAAAGAATATGAAGAAAAAAAAAGTGAAGACAAGAATATCAAAGAACTAAGACAAAAAAAAACAAAAGATGAACAAAGATGAAGAAATAGACCAAATAACGGAATAAGAAACCGCGAGAAGCCGAGAATGAATAAATATAAAAGGAATAAAGATGAAGAAGAAACCAAAATAAACAAAAAGAAACCAAATAAATAAGAATAGACCAAAGAAAAATAAACTAAGGACGAAAAATAAAAATATTGGTTCAATAGTCACCATGAACATGCTCTTGACGACAAAAGTTTAGGAATAAAAAATATTTAATCAAACTATTAAAATAGACCCGCGCGTGCGCGGGTAAAAGACCTAGTAAAATAATAAAATTGCTTTAAAATATCCTTTGAAAAAAAATTCTTGAGGAAACAACAAAAAAAAGAACAAAAGAGTTTCCAATTTGATATATGGAAGGTTCTCCTACAACGGCCGAGCAACGAGTCCCTTCTGAATCATCTTCTCCACCAACTCTTCATGCTTCTTCAATTGCCCAGCTTTTCTCAACTGAGCAAGAACCATCTCATACAAAGCCAAGCTCGGTACCAAACACTTCTCCTCAACCATCTCCCTAAAGAACTTATAAGCATTATTCCAATGCCCCATCCCACAAAACATTGTCACCAAAAGCCTATAAGTATTCACATTCGGCTCAACCTCCTTCGCATCCATCTCCTTCTTCATCTTCAACACCATATCAGTAGACTTCGACTCCACAAACATCCTCATCAGTATATTATACGTCACCGTATTCGCCTCACACTTCGCCTCCACCATCTTCGCAAACATCCTATGCGCGCCATTGACGTCTCTCTTCCTCTCAATGTGCCTAAATATAGTATTGAAAGTCGACGCGTTCACATCGCACTTCTTCTTGATCATCGCGTTCAACACCTTCACCGCGTTCTCAAGATGATCGTCTCTGCAATGAGCCTCGATGAGGAAGTTGTAAGTGATCGTGTCAGGCTCGCATCCCAGCTTCTTCATCTGGTTATAAACCTGCAACACCTTCTCTGTTCTTCCCGCTTTCACATGAACCCTCATCAAGTTGTTGAAAGTAATCGCGTTTGGAGCACATCCCGATTCGATCATATCCGCAAACACATCGTGCGCGCGGCTGATTTGACCGCATCTACACAACGCGTCGATGACAATGCTGTACGTATACACGTTTGGATCAATCCCAGCCGATTTCATCTCCTTGAACACTCTCTCCGCCTCCGAGATCTCACCGGCTCGGCACCAACCACGAACCAGATTGGTGTAGACGATGACATCTGGCTCGAATCTGTCTTTCAAGCTATCGAAAAACGATTGAGCTTCGTTAGCTCTTCTCTTTCGAGAGAGGATGCTAATGACAATGGAGAAAGCGATTTTATCAGGAACGCATCCGTAATCTTCCATACGGTTGAAGCAATGCACGGCCTCTGAAGCTAATCCGGCTCTAACGTAACGCCTAATCAGATTCGTGAAGGTCTCGATCGAGATCGAGACGTCTCTCGATTTCATGAGATCGATCAAGTGCCAGGCTAGGTCGAATTGTCTTACCTTTCCAGCGAAATCGATCATTTCGTTGTACGGGTGAGGGGATTTCTGGTCGTATTCGTCTCGCGAGGTGGCCCAGTTGAAGAAAGCTAGGGATTGGAGGAGAGGGATTCCGTGGCGGACGCCGCCGCACTTCTCGATTACGCATCGGACGACGGAGGGGGAGATTCGGGAGGCGTCGGCGGCGGAGATTTGGGAGAAATCGAGGGAGAGAGATGGGAGGGTGAAGCTAGGGTTTAAGACGGCGTCGTTCGGGTCGGTGGGGTTTTTGCGATAGTGGTCTTTGATGATGGAGTGGAGCTTTTCTACTGTGTGTGTATCTTCCGGAGTTAACACAGGCAAGGCGGGGACAGAGCTGACGGTGGCGGCGGCGGCGGCGGATTCGTCAATTTGGTGGTCATGGTGTAGGGAACTTGCGGAGGTGGTGAAGGATTTAGGAAGAAGAGGAGAGATGAAGGCAATGGTTCGAGAGAGATGGAGTTTTGATCGCATTAACGCCATTAATGGGGAGAAGATTTGGTCACTCGTCGCTTCCGAAGATCGAACGCAGAGTGGCGTTTTGTGGCGGAGGAAGCTCATTTTATGCATACGAAAAATTATTAAAAGGTCAAATTTTGCTTCGCTCCAAGTCCAAACGGCAAACGTTAGCTGAAGCGGCGTCGTTTTAGTGCAGGTGTATTCTCTATTGACTTCTTACGACGTTTCTTATTAGGTTGAAGCTAACCATAGTTATGTGATAATGTAATATGATCGGATTATATATATTGTTAGTCTTCAAAAATGAATTAAGTAAAACAGGAATTCCAAATGAATTTACACTTTTAAACAATATATAGACATTCTCGTTAACGACTGCAAAACAAACATCATGTAATCGATTGCTATTTTTTAAAAACAGTGAACTTGAGATGATTTTGTTGAATTAGTGAGGATAATATAATTGTTACTTATCATGGTTATCGCTAACAATTACAAAAACAAACGAAGCCATATCTCATTCTCACTTAGTTAACCAAATTGTCCAATATCACGATTCTTTTATTTACTGTTTTGCAGATAGATTCTAAATATCATGAATCTATGATGAAATGAAAGTGCTGTGTATAAGTTACGGACAAAAAGTCTCTTTCGTATTGTAATCATATTTTCTCGAAGGAAATTCAACTGATTATGTAATCTATTGCCTGCCGATTAAAAATATTTTAAGGCAAAAATACGTCAAGCCATAAATTCATGAAAATCTACTAATCTTACTTGCATATGGCCGCCTAATGGATATACACATATCGCATTACAACACATAGTCGTGTCCACATATTGGATGATGTCTAACCACCGGCCTGAGCTAACATATATATATATATATATGTGAGTCATTTTGATGATGCTAATTGGTACTCTTTAGTCCCTATCCGTGTATATATGCAGCTTGACCAAGCCATTTTTCTGACTCGTAATATCAAGGAAAAACATTCTCTTATAATAAAAATAAGCATATGATAGTTTCAAACCTATCTTATGGTATTAAAAAAAAATTAAACTAAGTCTTGATACCAAATGGTTAAACAAAAAATAGAAGGACCATTTCTAAGCTTCTCTAATCTCCAATCCTAATCCAATGGAAGCTTTGGCAATTTCACATTACATTCCTTCCAAAGAGAGATATCCTAACAACACACGCTTATGCTCTCTTCTCCATCTAATTCCTACTACGACTAGTATTTAATTCCTAATCCGATCTTAACCAATAATCACATAATAACCCTTTTGTTGTTTCTCCTTGGTTACTCCAAAACCTCAGGAAAAAAAAAGAAAGAACAAAACCAATCACTGGGTTCTTACCAAATATTACCGTCGGCGCCAGTGGCGGAGAACGAGAAGAGAACGGAGGAGCATGTGCAGTCGTTGAAAGATCTGATTCCGTTCCGTTATCCAGCTGGGACCGAGACGCCTCCGTTCGAGCATATGCCTAATTCCGTTAAACGGAGTTACGTCAAGGTTAAAGAGCCTCTCTTTGATCCGATGACTTCTAGGCGTATCTATTGGCGGGAAGTACCTTCTGCTGAGGATGATCACGGCCATGGTCATGGATGTTGCTTTTTCTTGAAGAGAAGCATTCGAAGGATGATCAACAAGTGGTTTGGTACTCTTTTTGGATTACCCAAGTTTGACGAGTTTTCATTATTGAAGTAATTTGTTTTCTAGGTATAGATTGTAAAAAACAAAAACACAAACGTGAGTTTCTTGTTTGGGAAGAAATTGAATTGCGAGAGTTACTAACTATGTGTTTTTTTTTATACGAGTCTTTTGGTTTTATGTATATAAGTTGCAATGTTGCATATGTATGGATCTGTTACTTCGAAGCACGCACGTCGCTAAATGTTGTGGTGTGTTCTCATTTCTCAATGATCAACGTTTTCAGGTTCGTGTGATTCAGGCTTAGATAGGCCCATATGTCCATATAAGTAAACCTATCAAAATAGGCCCAATAAGCTTTATCTGTTTCAGCATTATGAGTTTTGTTCGTTTGTGTGAAATTTAATTTTAGTTTTGCTAAAAAACGCAGTAATGACGACGTTTCCGTTGACCGGTTGACATTGTAGTCTGACAATGAATTTGGGATTCATCACATTTTAAGTGTTTTTTTTGGTTTACCATTTTTGTACTCCTATATAGAAATTACGATTTTAATTGTTTTCAAAAACTTTATAATTACGTACATTAATGGTGAAAATGTGTATTCTTTGTCAATCAATTTTTGTAACCAAATCAAGTTTTCTTAGCTTAATACATTAAAACAAGGCCTATCCAATTTAGATCTGATTCAAAAGCTATAATAGTCTTGAACATACAATAACTAAAAATGCATAATTGATTTAAGGAAATATTTTTTTAAAAAGACTGGATGTCATTTGTTTTAGTCAAAGATTTTAATTTAGGTTTTATAGAAATGTATAATCAGCAATAGCCCATTGGTTTGATTCCATGAGGTTTAAGAAAGTAAAAAACATTGTGCTGCCAAAGAAAAACAATTTACAATGAAATTACAAAACCACTGACCAACCGCGTATCGAAGGTTACAGACGTCATTTACCAAATTTGTAAACACGGCGTTAGAACAGAGATGGAAGAATAAAGAAAGGAAGAAATCTTCAGAACGAAAGAAGAAACCATTTTATAAGTCGAATTCTTCTTCTTCTTCTTTTTGTTTTTAATCTTTTGTTTTTCTGCATCTCAGGGGTTTTTGGGATTTCGCTTCTTCGATCGATTTCTACCTCTCTCTCCTCGTTTAGGATTTCGTCTGTTTTTTTTTTCTCTATCGTCTCGGGTCGATCTTCGTTGATGGCGAAACTGAGACAGTCGCGATTTCAAGCGAAGAAATGGTCGACATTGATGCTCGTTCTGTTTATGCTGTTCATGTTAACGATTGTTCTGTTGATGCTTTTGGCCTTTGGGGTTTTCTCTCTTCCAATCAACAACTACGATGACTCTTCTTCTCCGATCGATCTCTCTTATTTCCGACGAGCTGCAACTGAGAGGTGTGTGTATGAATTGTGTCGAATTCTTGATCTCCTAAATTTTTGAAAGGATTAGTTTTTGATTGATATTGTTTTAACCTGTAACGAATTCAGAAGTGAAGGACTTGGGAAGAGAGGAGATCAGTGGACTGAAGTGCTTTCTTGGGAACCCAGAGCTTTCGTCTACCACAATTTCTTGGTTAGTGTTCTTAATACCAAAGATTTATTCGATTAATTGAATTTTTTTTCACTATTTGTTGATCAATGTTCAAGCTGTACTCTGTGTCAATTCGAAATGAATGCATGCTTGAAGCAAAAGAAAAAATGGAATCTTGAATAATAATTTAATTGTTGATGTTGACCAGTCGAAGGAAGAGTGTGAATATTTAATCAATCTTGCCAAACCACATATGGTGAAGTCAACTGTTGTAGATAGCCTAACCGGCAAGAGTAAAGATAGCAGGTTCGGTTTCTTTTCCTCCTTGGTTGATGTTGATGCTTCATAATCATAAAAGAAATTACAAAATTTCTGCAAGCATTGTGTATTGGTGTGATGATTTGTGGAATGATGTACACATTCAGGGTGAGAACAAGCTCAGGGACTTTCCTTAGGAGAGGAAGAGACAAAATCATTAAGATGATTGAGAAAAGAATTGCAGATTACACCTTTATTCCAGCAAGTATGAGGGACCTTTCAATGAACAAATTATAAAGATTTGTGAATTTATAGAGAATATTGTGCTTAAGGTGATTCTGGAATGTGCAGATCATGGAGAAGGACTACAAGTGCTTCACTACGAAGCAGGGCAAAAGTATGAGCCACACTATGATTACTTTGTTGACGAGTTCAACACTAAGAATGGAGGCCAACGGATGGCTACAATGCTTATGTATCTGTAAGATTTTCCAACTCTTTTCTTTTAAGGTTGACATGTTCTAGTATTTACCAATCTTGATTTGTTTTTGTAATACAAAAACCCTTATTCTATACAGGTCTGATGTTGAAGAAGGCGGTGAAACGGTGTTTCCTGCTGCCAATATGAATTTTAGCTCTGTGCCATGGTATAATGAGCTCTCTGAGTGTGCTAAAAAGGGACTTTCCGTAAAGCCGAGAATGGGGGATGCACTGCTCTTTTGGAGCATGAGGCCTGATGCTACACTAGATCCTACAAGCTTGCATGGTAAAAAAATGCCTGGTTTAAAATAAAAATTTTGGAACACTCTTATAGATCTTGTAGTTTCTTAGATATTTCTCCTTGATGTTGGTAGGTGGATGCCCTGTGATTAGTGGGAACAAGTGGTCATCTACCAAATGGATGCATGTCGGCGAGTACAAAGCCTAGCGTGTTTTGATTGCTGGTAAAAGTCCATTACCCTTAAAAGTTATAAACCAGAAAACTTGTCCATTATGTTTATCTTAGCAATAGAGGTGGTTAAAAGAATTTGAGGAACTACTTAACATCAGTAATGGAATGTTGTAAACAGCAACACAAATTTCTTAAATAAAACAAAATTTTCTCTCCTAGAGCATATGCAATAAACTGTGGGTTATATAAGTTTGTTATAGATGTGCATATAACTATGGCCAACGTATTCGCTCTTGAATCTTACATAATCCTTTTTGATTGGCAGGACAGTATACCGTTTCCTAGGTGGTGGATGAAAATGCAAATGTCGGAACCAAAAACTACAGAGAGTGATGATGTTTGTTTGTTTTTATCCCTGCGGCTCAGTGTGTATTGTCAGCACCATTCTTTGTTTTGATGGAATTCAGAGGTTATAGCGAATACCAAAAGATAGAATCATTAGTAGACTAAATTAGGATGTGGCTTATAGAGAGTGTTGGTCATTTGGTATACGAGCCACAAGCTTGTGTCTTTGAATAGACCTTGTGAATTAGTTACCTTATAAAAAGTTGTTATCGTTATATAAAAGAAAGCTACATTCGTCTATTCGTATACACAAATTAAATAAATGGATTCACCATTCTTGTGCGGGGTTTCCTTTGCTGATAATGAAATTCTTGAGTAGCAATGGCACGTAGATTGTAAAAAGTGAACGAGAAGAGATTATTTATCACACAACAACAAAAAGACATGATTCACCCAGTTAGGAAGACAGAAACAGAAGGCTTTATAAATAGCGGTTTTTGTACGAAGTTTCCCTACACAACCTTTATTGTACAAATGAAAAAACCAAAGGAAAAATCCCAAATTCACAATTCTCTGAGTTTGTTTTCTCTCTCACGCAATCCGGTTTTCTTTCTCTGGATACAATTCAAGTTCCAAATAAGATGAGAAAGGAGCAATGATGGAGGTTGTTTGAAACGGGCTTAGTTTGTGGAGTCGCGGCTGTAGAATTGATCAAGTGTTTTGGCGGGAATACGGTGGAGGAGCTCACGCGGGAAGATACGGAGCAGTGTCCATGCCAAGTCAAGTGACTGGAAGATGTTTCTTGTATCGTATGCGCCTTGCATCACAAACTTCCTCTCGAATTTATCCAGAAACTCTAGGTACAGCTGCAAAACCACAACACAGGATGTCATTGCTGTGAGTAATAGTTGCTGTGAGTATGAATATTTAATAGGACTAGTAAAGAGAGAGGTACCAGATCCTCAGAAGAAAGAGCTTCTTCTCCAACGACAGCTTTCATGGCTTGAACATCCTTCCCGATTGCATAGTTTGCGTACAGCTGCAAGTCAACAGATATTTCCGATTGGGTTTTTGATGAATACTAAATAAACCTGCGAGATAATTTAGTAAAGTAAGGTTCCGGAAGTAACAAACCTGGTTGGATACATCAGAATGGTCACGGCGAGTCATTCCCTCACCAATAGCACTCTGCAGATTGAATGATGGTTAAGTTAATAGGTCGTTTTGTATGTTTCAATTCATGTAAAAAATCCATAAGCGTATATAATCGAATGGCTTGGCTACCTTCATCAGTCGAGAAAGTGATGGAAGCACGTTAATTGGTGGATATATCTGTTTTAAGGAAGAACCAAGACAAAATCAGAGATCATTGTAGATGGATGAGAGATGCGTATTAAAAAGAACTAATGAGACATAAGCAAAAAGAGTAAAAGCATATGACACCTGTCTGTTGTGAAGTTGCCTGTCAATGTATATCTGACCCTCAGTAATGTAACCAGTAAGATCCGGAGTAGGGTGAGTGATATCTGAATTTTACAACAAGAGATATTATGATTTATGAGCTTTGTTCAATCAAAAAAAGAAGAGAATCCAAGAATGATATGATTTTTTTTACCGTCATTGGGCATAGTGAGGATAGGGATCTGGGTGATGGAACCCTTTCTTCCTTCAATACGCCCTGCACGCTCATAAATGGTTGCAAGATCTGTGTACATATAACCTGGATATCCACGTCTTCCAGGAACTTCTTCTCTAGCAGCAGAGACCTACACAGTTCATCAAAATATGTCAGAGGTAGACTTAATAAAAGTTGTGCAAACCTCAATCAAATGAAAGACATTTTACCTCACGAAGAGCATCAGCATAAGAACTCATGTCTGTCAATATAACAAGCACATGCTTCCCACATTCATAGGCTAGATATTCTGCGGTTGTGAGGGCAATTCGAGGAGTGATAATTCTCTCGATGGTTGGGTCATTTGCCTATTGGAGAGGAATGCATAGGAAATATCAGTACATCATCCTTGATTTAATATAAATGTAATTGAAGAAAGATATAGCAAGAAGCATAGAAATCACAAGAAGTAAGTTACCAGGTTCAGGAAAAGGGTAACCCTTTCCATTGATCCATTTTCTTCAAAATCACGCTTGAAGAACTGAGCTGTCTCCATGTTTACACCCATAGCTGCAAAAACAATTGCAAAATTGTCCTCTCCATGATCCTGGAAAAACACAAGGGAAGAAATCAAATGATTTTACAAGGCAAACAAAATTACAGACTAATACAGAGAGATGCTTAAATCTTTCTACATTAGTTAGAAAGTGAATTTGTGCGCGCACACACAACTTACACTTTGGCATGATCATTAGAAAATAAAAGTACTTAAGTGGTTGAAATGGGGGCAAATGATTACCTCAGTTGGGTTCTCAGTCTTTTCCAACCGCTTAACAAGACCAGCCTGACGACAAATTTGAGCAGCAATTTCGTTATGCGGTAGACCAGCAGCAGAGAATAGGGGAATTTTCTGTCCACGAGCAATTGAGTTCATGACATCAATGGTGGAAATCCCTGTCTGTATCATCTCTTCAGGGTAAGTTCTCTCACTGGGATTGATTGAGCTTCCTACAAATATTATTCACCGATACAGTTAAAACATCTGATTATTAAGCTTCAAAGATCACACACAGAAGCAATCAACACTCACCCGAAATATCGAGGTATGCCTCTGGCAAAATAGGAGGGCCATTATCAATTGGCTTTCCTGAGCCGTTGAATATGCGGCCAAGCATGTCCTGTGACACAGGTGTTTTCAACACCTGAAACACATACCATGAACAGAAAAGGTTAAACAAAAAAAAGCTATAAGCAATCCTTAGTTCTCAGAAAGCTGCCAACCAAAATCTTATACAAATCTGTGAAACGCTTTAGAGTAAATACCTCTCCTGTGAATTGCACGGTGGTAAATTTGTTGTCAATTCCAGATGTTCCTTCAAAAACCTGGACAACAGCTTTCTCCCCATCAACCTCCAAGACCTGACCACGTCTCATTGATCCATCTCCTAAGCGAATGTTAACAATCTCCTGGTACTTTGGACCCTGGTATATAAACAGTTCAATAAATCTTTAGAGTCAGTAAGTCTTCATGAAAAATAAAAAGTTATATTCGATTTCAAAGATTCTCGTCGTCAATGTATATACCTTCACTTTTTCGAGAATGACCAATGGTCCTGCAACTCCGGAGACGGTTCTGTACTCTACAATTCAAAGATTCTCAAATCAGTCTCTTGCAAAGATAAAACAAACACATGTTTATACTTTATACATAAATCCAAAAACTAAAGGACTAAAAGTAACACTAACTAAAGTGGAGCCGATAAGATTACAGTAGAGGCTTAGATCATTCACTAAAGCTTAGAAAACAACCCCAGAAACGAGATTCATCTCTAACTTCTCGAAAATCGAACGAAAACAAACGCAAAAAAATCAAAAGAAAAAGCGAAACGAAGAATCTCATCTCCCTAAGTCAACCTACGTGCTATAGAAAATATGAAAACCGAAGAATATGTGTGATCCATGATCGGTGACTTACCCATTCCGATCTCGAGAGCTCCTCCATCCATGTCGATACTAGTCGCCCCCATTGTCATAGATCAAAATCAAATCAAGCCGCTCCACAATCCCTGGAGAAATACAGTCACAACGCGAGGCGGGAACAAATCGATATCAAAAATGAAACAAAATCAATTGAAATTCGATCTAGAGTGAAGAAGATGCGACGAGGAAGAAGAAAAAATCGAAGTGTGAGGAAAGATCTGACGAGAAAATCACACCTACCTGGAACGAATCGATTAAGGCAGATAGAGAGAGAGAATTGGGTTGAAACTTATGAAGTATGATGCTGTGGCTCTCTGTGAAAACGTGGTTGGAGGATATCTGACATCTAATTCAATTATTTGATTATATTATTTTCGTAAAAAATCTAAAATGATTTATTTTCGTCGCGAAAGTTTTCTGTATTTGGACGGAGATATTTCTCTCCGTGAAGAATTTCACGTGCGTTTCCAAAAAATAAATGTAGCGCCCACCGTGGGGCTCGAACCCACGACCACAAGGTTAAGAGCCTTGCGCTCTACCAACTGAGCTAGACGGGCTTGCTGATAGATTGCCTATGGATAAAGTAATTTACTTTAAAATCATGGCTTGACTTGCAATGTCATTTTCCATCATGTACCTTATGAGTTTTTAACCTGAGCTTTATTTGTATAGACATTATGGACTAGATTTCTTCAAGTAACTAACATACACTAATAATGAGTTATACAGAAACCAATTACAAGATGATAAAAAATGTTCAAAAACCCCAAAAATGTCACCAGAAATCTCCACAAGAACAGACACCATCTTTAAAGTGATGGAACCTATTTGTATCTCTAACGAAAATCTCTCTCCCTTCGTAACCCGATATAAACTTAATGACCGAATGACAATCGCCGCATATCCTAAGGTTCTTTATGACCTGAAGTGGTGTACCGTCTGGTGTGTTCAGAAGCCCAAAGACTACTGCTAGTTTCTCGCTGTGTCCCCACAATATCTGCTCTTTCTCTTGCTCCTCCACATCTTGCATCACAAGATCCAAATTCGGGCGATAACCAGATTTCCTCATCTCCTTGCTGATCTCATCCATCTTCTCTTTTATCTGATCAATCTGCGGATGCGACTTGTCACCAGCAAGAACCGTGTACACTGTGTTCTTCACTTGAATCCAGCTGCATCCAGGGTTCTTCTTCATTCCCAGACTCTCCATCTTGTTTCTAACTCTGTCTACCTCTGTCCACATGCCTTTAGCGGCGTATATATTCGACAAGAGAACGTACGTCCCAGGGTTTTCGGGTTCTAGAACGAAAAGCTTTTCTGCTGCAATCTCAGCTAAGTCTACATTGTTTTCAAGTCTGCAAGAATTTAGCAAAGCTCCCCAGACACAGGAGTCTGGCTCAGAAGGCATCTCCTTAATCAAATCATAAGCTTCTTGCAACTTCCCCGCGCGTCCAAGAAGGTTCACCATGCAAGAGTAATGCTCCAACCTCGGTTTAATCCCATATTCCTCTGACATCATACCGAAATATCTCCATCCTTCATCTGTTAAACCGACTTGGCTACAAGCTGATAATAAACTCGTAAAAGAGATGAAATCTGGTTTTAGCCTGGTTCTCACAAGAGATTCAAATATGCTCATGACTTCCTTGGCCTTCCCGTGCATCGAATATCCACTCATCAAAGAATTCCAGCAGACTAAGTTCTTCGTAGGCATCATATCAAAGACAATCTGAGACATGTTGATTCTACCACATTTGGCGTACATGTCAATCAGAGCGCTCCCTACATGAACATCTTCCAAAAGGTTAATCCGTACTGCAAATCCATGAGCAGATCTCCCATGAACCAAAGCTGCAATGTTTCCACACGCTGGAAGCATTGAAGGGATTGTTACACGGTTTGGCTTCACCCCAGCAACCTGCATTTCTCTAAACAGCTCCAAGGCTTCAATATCTTTCCCATTCTGTGCACACCCAGATATAATCGAAGTCCATGAAACGACATTTAGATCCATCTTTTTCTCTTTGAATAGCTCAAACATTTCAAGCGCCTTGTCAACAAGACCGTTCCTCGATAGCCCTGTAATGTATGCATTGCAAACCCCTGTCTCCATCACCTCAAATTCTTCGAAAAGTTTAACAATTCCAGAGGCATCGCCGGATTTACCATACATATCGATCATCGCACTAATAACACATTTATCCTTCAGCAGACCTTGTTTAGCCACATATCCATGAATCTGCCTCCCCAAATCCAGTTTCTCCAAGTCTCCAACTGAAGGAAGAACACTCGAAACTGTGACCTCATCGGGAAAACACCCCAGGTGATGCATCTTCTGGAACATTATCACTGCTTCCTTGTTATACCCGCTACGGTTAAACCCACTAAGAATCCCATTCCAAGACACGATATTCGGCTCAATACCTGATTCTTCCATCTCAGAGAGAATACGAACCACCTCTTCTAAGCAACCTTTTCTCGCATACCCATTGAGCAAAGCACTGCAAGTCACAACATCTTTCTCAAACATTCTATCGAACACCTTGCGTGCATCCTCCATCCTACCGCACCTCATGTACATATGAAACAGAGATCCCTGAACAAACGCATCCATATCCAATCCTGACACACAGGATATACAGTGAATCTGTTTACCTGCTTCAAAAGCAGATAATTCAGCGCATACTTTGAACAAATTCGGAAGAACATGGCTATCCGGAATCAGCCCGTAAGAGAACATCCGAGAAAACACGCCTAGCGATTTCGAGAAAAGCTTGGCTTTTGTTAACGCGTATATAAGAGAAGAGAAAGAGTAAACTGTGGGATCCGGAATCGATTGCAAGACGAGATTTGCGTCGTCGAAGCAACTATAGTTCGAGTATGAAGCAATGAGTTTGGCGGAGATGTAGCCATCGTTCTGGGCTCCGGATTTGAGAATACGAGCGTGAGCTTGCGTCGTCTTCGATAGCGAAGAAGACCAACAAGACGGAGAATATTCTAAGAATCCGAGTATCGATTGAGGGATTTTCTCTATCAGTGGAAGAAGCTGTTTTGTCATTGCTTAACTAAAAAAATAAAAGTTTCCCGCTTAACCTTAACTATTTATCAATCCTCCACTCTACCAGATTCGACCACGTCAGCACAATTGGAAATCAACGGTTAAAGATAAAAACTGGGCCTCACTTAGCTTCCGAGCAATCCTGGCCATTTGTTTCATCTTCTCCGTGGCTCCGTCACTCTCATTCTAAGAAAATCGATCTCAGAGAGAGAGAGAGCGAAAATGATTCGAACGGTGTTATTGTTCGTTGCCTTCTTCGTCGGAACAAACGTACAATCGCAGCAACTACCTCCGGCGAGGCGTGATGGATTCGTGTATCCACCCGGTCGGAAGATCGACCCGGAAACGATACTTATCGAAGCGTATTTTGACCCGGTTTGCCCCGATTGTAGAGACGCCTGGGAACCGCTAAAGCTAGCGATTGATCACTATGGATCTCGCGTTGCCCTTTCTCTTCACCTCATTCCTTTACCGTAAGTGTTTGAATTTCTCTTCCTCCCATTTGATTTTCCCTTTAATTTCAGTTTTCAATTTCTTAGCTAGATTGAGAATTAGTTGATTCGATGTTCAGTAATTTCTTAATTTCCTGATTTCTCTCCTGAATCTACGCATGCAAGTTTGACAAGTAGTTTGAGAAAGTATTAGATAAGTTATGTTGCCGTATCTGTTGTGTGCATAAATGCTTCATTCTTGTGTGATGAAGCTTTTCTATATCTTGCAGCTACCATGACAATGCCTTTGTAGCCTCTCGGGCTTTACACATCGTGGATGCCTTAAACGCCAATGTTACGTTCAATTTACTGGAAGGGATCTTCAAGCATCAGGTTCGATTTTTAGTGTATTAAATGCTAAACTTTGCTGAAACCAAACAGAGAAATTTTATATCAGCGGTTCTCTTTCTTGAAATGAAACGTTTATCTTTGCATTCCATTTCGATGAAGCCTTTGTCTTGTTTTGTATATTTTTGTTTATGATCAACACATATGGTTTCCTTGATATTGCTTTAACAGGCATTGTTCTACAACTCGCAAACACAACTCATCTCAAGACCTGCAGTTGTGGACAAACTAGTCAAGCTCGGAACAGTTACACTGGGAAGCTCCTATCATTCTCTTCTTAAATCTGGCTTCAGCAACTCACAATCTGATCTTGCCACTAGGGTTTCTTTCAAGGTCATCCCTTCAGCTTTTCTCCTTCTCAGTTTTACACCTTTCACTAGTCCATGAATCAAAAATGACTTCTTCGATTTGGTGCTCTGTATTATTGCTCATATGGTCAACTAGATAACGAAATGGAAATATATGGATCCTTCGCTAGATAACAATAGTCCATAGTAACTAGTCATGATCTTAGTGTGCAGTAGAAGAATTTCGGGTTCCATAGCTTGAGTTCTTGTAGCTTACCTTACCTTCTGTCATTTACTCATTAGGGCTTTGATAATAAATGTTGTCTTTGCTTTGGTTTTGTTCTGTTTGCAGTATAGCGTTTCAAGAGGAGTTTCCGCAACACCGACCTTCTATGTGAATGGGTTCGAGCTGCCCGGTGCTGGTTCTCCCATGGATTTTGAAGGATGGAGAAACACCATTGATCCTCTCGTTAAACCACAAGGAGGAAAGATACGAGACACCTTCTTTTCATTCCTCACACAGCCATCTTATAAGTAGTCCTTTTTTTCTATGTTCATCTCACATACATATTTGCTGTCAATAATATAAATAATTCTCCACAATCTGTCTGTTAAGAAATAATTCTCCACAATCTGTCTGTCAATTTGCATATATCTCATACATTTTCATATTTTTTGCTACATGTTCAGTTTCTTACAGAGATTATGTGACTTGTCTGACCAAAACTTTTAAATATGGTAAGGACTAGATTGTTTAAGTAATGACATGTGTTGATTCATGAATGCAACAGTTTCAAAGATTTATCCATGTTTTCTTTTCCAAAATCCCAATTTGTATTTCTACTTTAATAACCCTCCCTTTATTTTTTTGATAAATTTTTTTTGATAAAGAATCCTCCCTTTATAGAATGAAAAATCCATTAACATAAAATGATGAGATGTGATAATGTGATTTGTTAATTCACTTACCTTAAATCATTTAGGAAAAAGTCCAAGGCATTAGAATTTCTTGCCCACGGAAAACCATTTGTGGACTTTTTCCTTTTCGTGCAGTTGGATAATCTTCCGGGAGAGATACTATACCACAATTCACAAATATATCCTAACCTATACTGTACCGGTACCGGAGTTTGTGCATCTAAACCGACAAAATTGTTGGAAAATTACAAAAAGTTCCGTTTTGAATACGGTACGACTGGTCTTCTACTCGGTTCGGTTTAAAGTAAAGAATTACGAACCGGAAATCGATTAGGGCAGTTCACTGGTGCATGGGTGTGGAAGAGAAGTTGTGCGGCTCTTATATATGAGAGAGGCGCCTTCATCAAACCGTTCTTAGGGCGTGAAAGCAGAAAACGATACCTTATCAAATAGTGCTGTCGTCCAATTCCTGGCCAAATAAACCGCTTATCCGAATCTTCTAGGGTTTCGGAGGATCTAACCAGAACAGTCGCACAAGGTAACCATTCAAGCGATTTCCGAGGATTTCTGCTCATGAATTTACATATATTGTTGTTTTCGTTTATGAACCTTGTGAACGATAAACCTTAGTCTCGTATCGCCGGTTTCTGATTGAGAAGGACTCTTCTGATTTTGCGTTGCTTTCGTTGGGATTTTGTTTGATTTTCCCAGATGGAGATGTATAATCGAGTGGAGAAGCCTAAGGATGAGACGCCGATGGCTGAGAACGAGATTCGTATCACCAGTATGGGTAGGGCGCGAAATTACATTACTTATGCGATGACTCTTCTTCAGGTATTGGGTCTCTTCTGTAAATCTGAAAACGTCTGTGTTTATTGAGTTTCTGCGACTGTTTCCTAAAAGCAGAATTGGTATTCATACTGTAATGAATTGGTGGAGAGACTAGATTGTGGTAACGTATATGGAGTAGACGATTTGTGCATTTAATTTGAAGCTCAGCGATTTCAAAGAATCCAGTAGCATTTATGTTCCCTGTGAATGGCGGTTTTTGTTTGTTTTCCATGGAACTGTATGCATTTGGGGGCTTAGAATATTTTCTTACGTTTCGTGTCGCTTTCAGTAGAAAATTAAACATGAATTTGCTTCCTGAATGACCAAATTATTGATTAACTGCTTCTTAACTTTCTGGTTGTTTGATATTCAGGACTTTTCTAAGTATTAGTTATGTCGTTTGTGCCTTTGTGGTGTGGTTGTATGCTTCCTTCACTCTCTATTGGCAAACTGTAGTTATATTGTAAACAGCAATGAGTATTGGCTTTCGAGTATTATTCAAAATCTGTTTGGCTTGCTTACAACGGAATTTGTTTCTTTAATATAGGAAAAGGGATTGAATGAAGTTAGCTTCAAGGCAATGGGAAGAGCTATCAACAAGAGTGTGACCATAGTTGAGCTGATTAAGGTTTGTATTTGGTTTGCTCGTTCAATATCACACAAGGGATTTGTATTGTATCTGAAAATGTTCTTGTAATCTGCATTGCAGAGAAGGATTCCTGATCTTCATCAGAACACTTCTATTGGATCCACGGACATAACTGATACGTGGGAACCTAAAGAGGAAGGCCTTCTTCCGTAAGTTGTTTTGGGACTCATATTACCATGTTGTGCTCTTAAATTTTGTTACCTCGACCTGTTATTTATTTCCTTTCGTTTTCTTTTCCTGAAGAATCGAGACAACAAGGCATGTGTCGATGATAACTATCACACTTTCAAAGGTGGAGCTGAACACATCCTCAGTTGGGTGAGTTTCTAGTGCTCTGTTTAGATATTTCAGGCTGTGACTCGAATAGTAGTATGACTACAGAGGTACATTGTCTCTAATTCTAAAACTCTCCTTCTATATGACGCTACAGGTACCAGTGTCCGATTCCCATTGAGATGGTGAAGCCATTAGCTGAGATTGATTACGAAGGACAAGGTATTTATTTTCTCTCACTTCTAATGAACGTTTTCAAGCTCCCTGCCTTGTGAACTTTTTTAAGTTTATACTCTATCTCTCTGCTGTAGATGGATCACCTAGAGGCAGGGGAAGAAGAGGCAGAGGAGGAAGGGGAAGGGGAGGAAGAGGTGGCAGAGGTAGGATTGCTTTAGCAATTTTCTTTCCAAAATCTTAGCTTCACCTGAGCTGTGGAGAAGGGTGGTTCCAACTTGTGGATTTGACTTGCTATTTCTTTTTTTCGGATACATCAGGAAATGGATATGTGAATGCTGCTGAGCATGAGGATGGAGGAATGGAGCCTGAGCGGTCATCTGGAAGAGGAAGAGGGCGTGGGAGAGGAGGAGTGCGCGGTGGTCGAGGAAGAGGAGGTTACAATGGTCCACCTGCACGGTACTATGAAGCTCAGCAAGATGGAGGAGACTATGGATACAACAATGCTCCTCCTCCACAGGATCGTGAGTATGGTGATGGAGGTGTGGAGCCTGAGAGGTCATATGGTAGAGGAAGAGGGCGTGGCAGAGGAGGAGGACGTGGTGGTCGTGGAAGAGGAGGTTACAATGGTCCCCCACCTCACTATGAAGCTCAACATGATGGAGGAGACTACGGATACAACAATGGTCCTCCTCAACATGATCATGGATACGATGCTCCTCCTCAGGGACGTGGTACGATCTTGTTTTATAACACTTGTTTTTTTTTTCAATGCACATGTTGACCGACTTGCCATGAGTTTCTAAATGTGAAAAGTTGTTGGAACAGGACGTGGCCGTGGAAGGGGAGGTCGTGGAAGAGGAGGAGGCCGTGGTGGATTCAACAGATCAAATGGACCACCGATTCAGGCAGCTGCTTAAGTGAGACCAGGGGTCGTTGACAATGGACTTTGTTCTTTTTCTTCATTCTCTAAGTTTGTCTCTGTCCTTCAAAAACAGTGTCGTAGCATAATTTCTCTATTTCATGTTGCCTTTAGGTTTATATATATGTTCATTTATTTATGGATGTTTTGTCTTGGGATTTTTCCAGTTTTTCTTCTTCCTAACAGTTTTTCCAGTTTTGTGATTGTTTTTAAGTATTGAAACGACAAGTTTTGTCACTGTTTTTGAGTATTGGAAAGACAAGTTATGATATTTGACTTACTCGCACGAATCATCATGATGGAATCTTTAAATTACACACGTTCTTTGTTCCAGACTTCTTCACCACGAAGTTATACATTTCTCTCAACGCTTTGTGATTTTATTTTATCACCTCCAATTTTTAACAGAGGAAATGATAGTCGAGTAAAATCCAAAATAAAAAACGTTAATCAGATTTTTTATTAGCAAGGGGCTATTTGGTCATTGGTTTGGTCCACCTAGCAAACGTACGTAGAAGAGGTCCATCCAAACTCATATTTAAAATACAAAATCGCCGTTGCCGGGGATCGAACCCGGGTCACCCGCGTGACAGGCGGGAATACTTACCACTATACTACAACGACCTCGTTGATACTGAGACTAAGAAGGAGATTAAAATTATAATCAAAAAGTTAAGGGACGAAAATGATAAATTACGAAAACAAAATGTTGACGCCGTTGCCGGGGATCGAACCCGGGTCACCCGCGTGACAGGCGGGAATACTTACCACTATACTACAACGACCTTGATGTCTATTAATTTTATAAAACTATAAATAAATAATATTATTAAAAAGCTGTCTTGATTAAAAAGAAAAGGATTTCACTTGGGAAAGAAAAAGAGTCTTAGCAGCATTGGTGTGAGCTTCATCTTCAAATCTGATCCATCATCATCGTCAGTTTTCTCCTCGGCGAATTCCGTTCTGTCAACTTAGTAAGCTATCTCCTTGTATTTCTCAGTTAAGCAATCACTATAAACTTCAATCTATTCCGGTGAGATCTCTATAGCTTAGTTGCACTTCCGCCAAAAACCCTAATCTTCTCTCGTTTTCGTCTTTGTGAAGAGTGCCGAGATTTGTGGCAAGATGACTCAGGACGTGGAAATGAAAGATAACCAGACCCCTTCTCAATCGGTCATCTCTTCTACTACCTCGACAATGCAGCGTAAATCTCGATCTCATATACTTCAGCTCACGAGAATCCCAAAATTGCTAATTTTTTTTCTGGGTTTCGAATTTTCAAGTTTCTCCTCACCTTTTGTATTCCTCTATTCCCAGATTTGAAGGAGATAGCAGCTCTGATTGATAGTGGGTCTTATACGAAGGAGGTCCGTCGCATTGCTCGTGCGGTGCGTCTCACTATTGGAATTAGGAGAAAACTCACCGGCTCTGTGCTTTCTTCGTTCCTGGAATTCGCTTTGGTTCCAGGTTCGGAAGCTCATTCTCGTCTTTCTTCGTTCATTCCCAAGGTATTAATGTTCTATAGCTCTAGACTTTGATGTGGTAATATGCTTGTTCCAATTAGCGTCTGCCTTCAGGAAGTTTAGGTTCATGTTATGGAGATTACACTTTCTTTTGATGTTTGGAATGATGAGTTTTCGGAAACAAACTGGTTTAGCTACTGAAATATCTGCCTTATAATGGTTTAGGGTGATGATCATGACATGGAAGTCGACACAGCTTCATCTGCTACACAAGCTCCTTTGAAGCACCTACCTGCAGAGCTGGAGATCTATTGCTACTTCATTGTTCTTCTTTTCCTGATCGATCAGAAAAAGTACAACGAGGTTACTGCTGCTGCCTCTTTTGGTTTTATCTCATGAGTTACTTCTCTGCTGTTGTTTTTATTTTATTGAATTGCTTTTAATCATCTTCTTAGGCTAAAGCTTGTTCTTCAGCAAGCATTGCTCGCCTCAAGAACGTCAACAGAAGGACCATTGATGTCATTGCGTCAAGATTGTACTTTTACTACTCTTTGAGTTACGAGCTTACCGGAAATCTGGCTGAAATTCGTGGGTTAGTAACTCAAAGACTGGTTATTTAGTTTTTGTACATCTTATTAATAAGTTGTTCAACAGCTAATTATCTGGTTGACTTGTTTCTTCTTGCAGGACTCTTCTTGCGTTGCATCATTCTGCAACCCTACGCCATGATGAATTGGGTCAGGTATGTGTGTGTGTTTAGCAAATGCAGCCTACGATTCATTGCTATGAAACTTTTGTTTTGCTACTTACTGAAAAATATTGTATTGTATGCAGGAAACACTTCTAAACCTGTTGCTTCGTAACTACCTACACTACAATCTGTATGACCAGGCAGAGAAGCTAAGATCCAAAGCACCGCGATTTGAGGCACATTCCAACCAACAGGTAGCTCTTTGTTGTTTATGCCTTCTTACTCTTATTAGTCACAGTGCTCTAGATTATAATTTCTTATTAGATCTCCAATGCTCTATTTATTATACTTAACTGTTTTTTAGAGAATGTCCTTCTTTTGCCTAAGCATTTTTTCCTCGCATTCGTTTTGTTGAGATTTTTCATTTTGTTATCTTGTTTTTAAGTCTGATACTGCCTCTTGCCATAATAATCGATCTATCTAGTCTTCGTTTTCCGTGCTACATGTGAATCGTCTTCGATTTGATTTTCTCTCCATAGTTACAATTTCAAAAGAACAAAAAGCATACATTTATCTCAAACGATATACTTTGCAGTTCTGTAGGTATCTGTACTACCTCGGGAAGATCCGAACCATTCAGCTTGAGTATACAGACGCCAAAGAAAGCCTTCTTCAGGCAGCCAGGAAAGCACCTATTGCAGCTCTGGGCTTCAGAGTCCAATGCAATAAATGGGCGATTTTGGTTCGTCTGCTTCTGGGAGAAATACCCGAAAGGTCCATTTTCACCCAGAAGGGAATGGAGAAGGCTCTTAAGCCTTATTTCGAGCTTACTAATGTAAGTCCACCTTCATAATCTTGCTGCTGTAACACAAATTTAAATTTTCTTTAGAGGAGATCACTAATATGTCATTAGCATAAGCTACTTCATCTCTCGTTGGCCTATACATTCCTCCTGTTATTGCTGCTGTTGTTATCTACTGCCTCAAAATATTAAGAGCATGATTTTCTGGCTAACAGTTTTGTCTCACTATGTACTGTTGCCTTTTAGAGATATATGATGCAACAAACTAACTGGTTCTGATCTGAAGCTTACTATAATCTGTTTCAATTTTTGAAGGCGGTGAGGATTGGAGACTTGGAACTCTTCAGGACAGTCCAAGAGAAGTTCTCAGGCACATTTGCTCAAGACCGAACGCACAATCTCATTGTAAGACTCCGCCACAATGTCATCAGGACTGGACTTCGCAACATAAGCATCTCATACTCGAGAATCTCCCTTCCCGATGTTGCCAAAAAGCTGAGGCTCAACTCCGAAAACCCTGTGGCTGATGCGGAAAGCATTGTGGCAAAGGCCATACGCGATGGAGCGATTGATGCAACCATCGATCACAAGAATGGGTGCATGGTCTCCAAAGAAACCGGGGACATCTACTCTACCAATGAGCCACAGACTGCGTTTAACTCGAGAATTGCGTTCTGCCTCAACATGCATAACGAGGCTGTCAGAGCTTTGAGGTTTCCTCCTAACACTCACAAGGAGAAAGAGAGTGATGAGAAGAGGAGAGAGAGGAAGCAACAAGAGGAAGAGTTGGCTAAGCATATGGCCGAGGAAGACGATGATGATTTTTAGAGAAAGGTGATCTCCGGTAGACTTTGTTTACTCTCACTCTGTTTCTTGTTTCAGCTCACAACTTAACTTTTTACTGTGCCCGTCGTTCTTAGTGTTTTTACTGAGGATTTTTTCATCCTTCCGGATAATTATTGCTCCTATTTATTACTTTGGTTTTAACTTTAGGAAAAGAGATTCGTATTGTTGGTTTCAGAATATTCGAATCTTTTCAACTTCGTTTAATGGTGGTGTTTGGGAGATTTTCACATTTTAAGAATTGAATAGTTTAAGCTACCTGTATAACTATGTTAGGCGGCTCATTGTTAGAACATTGGCATGTGAAATGTTATCATCTCCAGGCGATGCATAAAGTTAAAATGTAAATCAATCTGCACTTATATTTTACGGTTTTTACAACAAAGTGATGTGATAGATAAACACTCGAAATATCATAAGAATCAAGAATGAAGACAAGACATGTGTATGACCATTAAATAATTAATACATCTGTCTGTTCCTGCCAAACTAGGTTTCACTGTCGTAATAAGATAGTCCCATGTTATGCTTTAAATTATGGGTCTTTGTTGTTTAATTGTTTTGATTCATTAATTTCTTAATAATGATCATAATCAGTCATAAATGATTCCAAGGCTCTTTGATGGCTACAACTGCCAACTATTTAAACTATAGCATCATTGATCAATCTCATTGACTCATTGTCATGCTATAGTTTGTAAATTTTTAAAGGTCTTCAAGTTCTTAATCTTGTTGGACCCATATTTTCACCACCGATGAACTTATTAGTAATATTTACATTTGTGTAAGGCGACGGACGATGCCGTGACGGTGATCCTCTATAAGTAAGATTCGCTATCAAGTTTTGAAGGACGATTAACCAACCCCAAAATGATAATTACGATAAAAGAAAACAAAGCGATTTGGCATGTTGCTAATAATGTAGAAGAGAGCATGTGAGTCGATGAACCTGCACAGACCAACCTGCACATGATTGTTTTTGGCACATCACAAACAAAAAACCTTCCTTTTGTCTTTCTTTCTCGTTATTTTATTCATTTAAGCAAAAGAAATTAGTATCCACCGCACTGAATAGTATATATCTCTGATACAGATAAAAGTATAAAACAAACCATTTACCTCTGATTATTCTCCTAACTACATGTATATAATATCCAATTGTTTGTGAGAACTAGTAGTAACTTATTGTTTTGGTGACCAAACTAATTTAAAAATCACAATCTTGCAATAACCAAACATGTGTATCAAGAATCCTGCATGAAACAAAAGTTTACATTAGATAAACATTTGGTTATCACTACAAACTTCAAATTATATGGTTAAAGTGACTCTTCTTAGCTCCAAAAGGTTGTAGTATATAATAAAGGACAATATAGAGTTCAACCAATACCAATATCAGTGAAACTTACATCTAAAGTTTGTATGAACTTTTTGGGGAATATAAACCAATCCGCATATTACAAACAGAGATTGCAGATCTACTATCTTTTTGGACTGATACTGTTACTTACAAATATAACATGTAAAAGATTTGTCAAAAAAGGAGAAATAAACAAATAAAGATAAGACCACATGTAAGGTTTTGTTGCTACTACATAGTTTACACATGTACACTTCCCACCTTTATTTAAACAACTCTCTCTCCTTCACTCGATCATCATCATCATAACCATAATCATCTCTTTCTTCTTCAAAGAACAATAATCATGGCAAAGTCTCTAGCTGGATTGGTCGTCTTGGCCGCTCTTTTTATGGTGGTTGATGCGTTTAGGCCTTCGGGTTTAACCAACGGCCACGCCACATTCTATGGAGGCAGTGACGCTTCTGGAACAATGGGTATTTTAACCATTTTGAATTTCATTTAGTTTCTTTACTTTGAATTCTAATCCATTGGAGTCAAACTAGTACTCCAAATTTCGGATTTTCCTATTATTTAACAAAAAAAAAATGTTCTAAAACCCAAAACAGAGGACACCAATTTGACTCCAAAGAATTTAATTACCCTCCTAAAAAAATTACTTTTTGTTTAGTTTTGCTGAGTTAAGAAATTAAATTACGAAAGTAATGGTTTTTGTTTTTTCAGGCGGAGCTTGTGGGTACGGAGATCTATACTCAGCGGGATACGGGACTAACACGGCGGCGCTAAGCACAGCTCTGTTCAATGACGGAGCTTCTTGCGGCGAATGCTACAGAATAACATGTGATTACGCGGCGGACTCACGGTGGTGCAAGAAAGGAGCTTCAGTGATCATCACTGCCACGAACTTCTGCCCACCAAACTTCGCTCTCCCAAACAACAACGGTGGTTGGTGCAACCCGCCGCTCAAACATTTCGACATGGCACAACCCGCTTGGGAAAAGATCGGAATGTACAGAGGCGGAATCGTTCCCGTCGTTTTCCAAAGGTTAGATTTTTTAGAAAATTCAATTTTGTAACGTTCCAATTTGCTAAATGAGAAGTCTCTGTTTTTGTTTTTGTGCCTTGGAAAAACAGAGTAAGCTGTTACAAGAGAGGAGGAGTGAGATTCAGAGTAAACGGAAGGGACTACTTCGAGCTGGTGAACATATCGAATGTAGGAGGAGCTGGTTCGATTAAATCTGTCTCCATTAAAGGATCAAAGACTGGTTGGTTAGCCATGTCTCGTAATTGGGGAGCTAACTGGCAATCAAATGCTTATCTCGATGGCCAATCTCTCTCTTTCTCCATTACCACTACTGATGGTGCTACGAGAGTCTTCCTCAACGTTGTTCCTTCTTCTTGGTCCTTTGGACAGACTTATTCTTCCAACGTTCAGTTTTAAGACTTTCTCTTCTTCTTCTTTTCTGTCTAAAAAAATATTGGCAGTGGTCGCGCTCTGAGTCTGTTTCTTCTCTCCCGGAGCGACCCGCCCGCTTTGGTCTTTTTTATTTATTTTTCTGGTTTCATAGGTCTCTTAATGGAGAAGACCCGATTTTATTTGAGGAAATGATTATATGTATTGTGTATTTGAATAGTTCAAACTTCAAAAAGATTATGTAATCTAGCAAAAAAATTGAAGAACTAAATGTTTCATTTTAATTAATGGATTGAATGAGAGCATTTGCATGGTTCGGTTTGTGGCCTAATTAAAATCAATTTCTCTGTGAGCTTAGGTTTACTACAACTAATTCATGAAGTTGAGATACTTGTTTTCTCAATATTGTTAGAACAAAATACCCAAAATGATGAATTTTATTTTTATTTCTGGTTACTAAGATCAAAGAATCAATAGTAACCACTAACCAATGAAGAAGTACTTTTTTTTTTGAACAACATTTTCATTAAAACACAAACTTAAGTTTCGAATACAACACTGGGCCCCAGTTGGGAAGAGAGGTCAATCAAACGACTCTTTGCAAACTTTGCAATGGAATCGGTGATAACATTTTCCGATCTAAGAATGAAACTAAAGGAGATCGAATCGAACAAGGAGGCGAGAGCATGGATATCAAAGAGGATTCCGAAGATCGACTTGATTTGCTCTTGCGAATTAATAGCTCGGATTAGATCATGAGCGTCTGAAAGGACGAGAAGATTGGGGATTCCGTCTTCAAGTGCTTGATTGAGGGCTGATCGGAGCGCTAGAGCTTCCGCTATCACCGGTGACGAGACATGCCGTTCAGCCGAGTGGCCGCGTTTTGTTTCTTTTCCGGTGGAATCGACGAAGCAATAAAAACAAAGAATCAAAAAGTTTCCTTTCATGGCCTCAATTTCACTTGAATCATGATAAAAAAATTTGAAACAAAGATTTACATTTCTTTCAATTAATATGAAGAATTCACATTACGAAAGTTATACATACTGATAAACTATGCCAGTATCAAATAACCAGTGAAGAATACAAGAAAAGAAAATAATGATCTCTATGATAAATAGTTTTCTTCAAGCAATGGCCTTGGTTTCACATGAATCATCAAGAAAACAATGAAAGATATTCTTACAGCTGATTTAATATTTTATAGTCTAATTCAATTCATATACCCTACAAAAGTATTTATTTTTATGAACCAAAAGAATCAAAGAATCAAGAACTTGGTCTTGTGATTTGCGCAAACGCTAGTCTTCTTGATCTATTAATAGTGTGGAAGCAGAGGTAGAGATGTTCCTCAAGCTCTTGCAACTGCTCTGAGAATCTTTCTTCATGTCCATTAAACTCTCTCAATGCTTCCTTCAACACTTCAATCTTCCTACTCTTTGCGCACATCGCAGCTACCGTCTTCCTATGCTCTATCTCATCGCATAGTCTCCCTGCAAGTCTGCTCAACGTATCCATATCGTTTATCAATATGAACATTCCTTTAGCTGCAATGTCCATTTGTGTTCCGAGCTTCTCTAGCGTTGTATCTTTCTTGCTTCTCTCAGTCGCTACGTCTCTTTTTGCTTTCTTCTTCCTTAAGAGACCCAAAGAACATAAACCGAGCAAAGCAGGAGCTGCTAAAACGCCGAGTATGCTGTGTAGAGCTATGATCAGTAGTGCAACGACAATGGCGCTGTGAGAAATCACTAGACTATAACCTCCTAGCTTCTTGCAGAATCTAAAGAACCTGATTTTTCTTCTGATGCTTCTCCTTTTCGATATCAACCTGGCGAGCAACTCTGAGTTTGCGTCGTGAACTCTTAGGAACTGAGCTTCGTTGATGACACGATACAAAGGGTTTCTCAGCGTGGAGAATCTCGAAAGCTCTTGAAATACCAAAGCACAGAGCTTTTCAGGCGAACACTCCGCGGTTTTAGCACCGTTACAAACTCTCTTACCAATCGTGAGAACCCTCTCGATTTTGTTGTGGTTGATCTTGATTTGTTGGATGGACTGAAGGAGAGACTCACAGACGTCACAAGCTTCGGAGCTAAAGTCGAAGAACTTAACTAGAAGATGGTGGAAACTCGAGTCATGCATGAGAGCATCGAGGGTTTCTTGTGACGGGTCGAGCAAGTAATCGGTGAAGTGTGAATGGAAGCTAAAATCTGAAGACGAAGGAGAAGAAGTCGAAGAAGGTGATGATGACGAGAGTTTGCTACAGAATGTGATCCCTAATTGGTCTTCAGCTTTTGTTCGAATGTCTAAGTATGACTTTGTTCTGAAAGCTTCCTTGTACTCTTCGTTAACACTTAGCTTCGACGTCAAGCTACTTCGACTACCTTCCTTATCGAAATTTCCTGCTTCATTGACAGAGAAAAAACAGTTTAGAGTTTCATAATTTTTTGGCAGAGAATTTCATAATTTTTCTAAAAAAACTGAAGAAAAAAACTTCTTCGGTTACAGAACAAATCTATGAATATTATTTGAAAAAATTCAAGAACTAATAATAAGAGAAGAAGAGAAACAAATCATTCAAATTTTCTTGAACAACAGTAGAGAGAAGAAAAAGAAAAAAAAATACACCTTTTCTTGCAGAGGAAGATTTCAATCTAGAACCAAGATAATTCTTCATTTTCATCATCTTCGATGGAGCTCAAAGACAGATGTGATTTAGGTGAATGATAGACAAGCTTCTGGTTTCTTATATACATATGTCTTTTTGAGTATGGCGGTTTGTGATTAATTATGTGATAAAAAGTGATAAATATAATATATAAACGAACGTATAAATAGGAATGATTGGTTGGACAAAGATAGAGAGAGAGAGAAGAAACAAGGGAGAAGAAAGAGAAGATTGAGAAGCGACAGCTAGAGACATGGTGGACGTTAGCACCGCTCAATAGATTTTGCTTTTGAGCTCTGAAAGTTGGCTTACGGCGCAAGTTAGAGGAGACGACACGTCGCGTTTTGACACGTGTTGTGTACTTTGGGGGATGGAGATGACTTGTTGGTTTGGAGAAGAAGTTTCCTTTTATGGTTTTACGCGCCTTTGTTTATCATTTTTTTAATCGGATAACGAAATTTGTGTGGTGTATTTAAATTACTTAAGAGAACATAATTCGTTAATGAGAAATTAGTATGGAGTTCCTCGTACGTTTTCCCAAAACGAGTGTTCGCCACGTAGACCTCTGTCGTTTCAGATATTATCGGGTTTGGAAATCTTTAGATTGTTTTCGTTGATTTTGTTTTTGGTTAATCAACATATATTTTTTGTATTATTGAGTCTTTGTCTAAACGCTTAAGCAATGCGAAGAGTCACCCTCTATTTTCAACTTCATGTAATTGAAATATTTGACGTTTTGGTACGCAATGCAAATAACTAATTCGAGGACTTGATTCAATTTGAATTTAGTAATTCTTCACGAGATTAAACTTTTTAAAGTTGGTATATTACTATATTTACGTCGATCAGTCGTTGGTGTAAACCGTGTAACTGTATATCAACGTTGACCATTTCATCATACGTTTATGAATTATGCATACATACCAAGAATGAAGAAAGAGGACATCAAAATGGTTATCATCTATAGTTACCAAGAACGTACCCCAATGGTTTTTGTAAATGATTGAACTCGAGCTATGATATTGACGTATAAAGTTATTAAGTATAGTTAGTTTTACTAAGTATGTTACTCATATAGATATGAATATATATGATAATAATATGAAGTGCAGAGAATGTTATTTAGACAAACTTGTACATATCGTTTTCGTTTCTTTGTCTGGGACGTCTGGCTAAATATATAATTCATCATTTACATTCACTGTATTCATGAACCTTGTTTGACATTATTCATTCTACTTTTGTATGATGCACTTAGTGTGGAAGTGTTCCAATTAAACTGGAGAGGATATTAGTTTAGCTTCATTGATGTGTGTTACAACTTAAATTAGAGGCGATGTTATTTTAGTTTCTTTAACACTAACAAACATCCATTGTCGTCCAGCGGTTAGGATATCTGGCTTTCACCCAGGAGACCCGGGTTCGATTCCCGGCAATGGAGCTTTTTTAACTTTTCATGAGAAGCTTTTGGGCCTTCTAGATATTAATATGGGCCTTCTTTTCAGTCGGGCCGGGATTGGCCGAGTACCAAATTTTTTTACCCCTCCTCTTAGTATAGTAGGTAGATAATAGAAAAAAGTTAGAAATCAAAGATTATGCTATCTAAATTGATAATAGTACAATACTTTCCCAAAGTAGCACGAGCACGAGCGCACTCCACTCTGATCCACTAAAAAGGTCGGCAATAAAACTACATATGTTTTCAAATCATATTTTTTGTTTTCTCTAGGTTGCTATATATAAAATGTTTGTGATCTCGACCATACATTAGTTTAAGTAGTAGCCTACAAGCACGCTTTTGACTAGAAGGATTCCATAAAAGTGGAGTGTAAATGTCATTCCTGGCTACTGCACTCAGGCCCGCACCACACTCTCCTTCTATTGGCTACTCAAAGGTAAACATATGTTGCAAGAACGTTTTGTTTTTGTTTATTTATATATTATCATGATAAGAATTCATATATGAAACACATGAAGAAATATAAGATTCTTTTCTTCTTGTGCAAGAATCGTCTGATTAGTAGACACTCATTAGTCATTACCATCTAATCAAAATGTCTTAGTCTTATCTAAAGTTGAATTTTGCTAAGCTTTGCAATATGTAAATAGGGATGAAGTATTCAAAGTCTTTTGAACCTCGGAAAAAACAAACTAAATGTTGAAGTGATGTAATGAGTCATGACTCGGAACAGAAGATAGTGGTACGATCACTAGACTGTGTCTGTTATATTTCCACTTTTTGCCCAATCCAGAAAACCACCAATTCTTCAAAGTGGGACAAGTAATTTAAGCATTAAAGACCCGTGATTCTTTTGCTCTATCTCTAGTTTCCAGCAATCTCTCAACCATTATAAATACACTTGTGTTATATGGACTAAATCCTCAAGCGACTAGAAGGAAACTAGAAAAGTCATGAAAGGCATTACATTCTTCTTCACACCCTTCTCCTCATTATTTCTTTATCTTTTATTCATCTCATTTACGACAGAAACTGAAGCTGGATTGAAAAATGGTGATGGGGTTTACATTGTCTACATGGGATCAGCTTCCTCTGCCGCAAACGCTTATAGAGCTCAAATACTCATAAACACCATGTTTAAGAGGTTATATACCTAAAATATGTATTTACTATTTACAAAGAGTTTTTGTTCTGACACCTTGTATGGTTTGTTGTTGTACGTAGGAGAGGAAACGATATCGTCCACACATATAAACACGGTTTCACTGGTTTCGCAGCTCGTTTGACAGCGGAAGAGGCTAAAGTTATAGCCAAGAAACCAGGCGTTGTGTCTGTTTTTCCTGACCCAAACTATCAGCTCCATACAACTCATTCATGGGACTTTCTCAAGTACCAAGAAGCAGTCAAGATCGACTCAGGTCCACCTTCATCAGCAGCAGCCTCAGGTGGATCATATGATACCATTATCGGTATTCTTGACACAGGTAAGGCCTTTCACTTACTACATCTTCGTTCCCCTCTCTCATAATAAACAGAAAGAAGAAAAGAGTTTGATACAAAACAAACAAACAGGGATATGGCCAGAATCAGAGAGCTTCAATGACAAAGACATGGGTCCAATTCCATCTCGGTGGAAAGGTACATGCATGGAAGCAAAAGACTTCAACTCTTCTAACTGTAACAGGTCACTACAATTTTCACAACTCTTCTACTAAAAATATTACCAACTTCTTTTTGAAGACTTAACTAAAACTTTCTTGTTTTTTTTTTTTTATCTATGCAGAAAGATTATTGGAGCAAGATTCTACAAAAACCCTGATGATGATTCAGACTACTTTACCACAAGGGATGTGATCGGCCACGGCACTCATACCTCCTCCACCGCAGCTGGATCAGTCGTGGAGAACGCGTCCTACTACGGTGTAGCCTCCGGGACCGCAAAGGGAGGCTCACCAAACGCAAGGATCGCTATGTACAAAGTATGCAACCCCGGGGGATGCTCTGGCTCCTCTATCTTAGCTGCTTTCGATGACGCAATCGCTGATGGTGTCGATGTTCTTTCTCTGTCTCTTGGAGCTCCAGCGTACGCGCGCATTGAGTTAAACACCGATCCTATCGCCATTGGATCATTTCATGCGATGGAACAAGGGATCTTGGTGGTCTGCTCTGCTGGTAACGATGGACCTGATGTCGGTACAGTTGTCAACACTTCACCTTGGATAATGACTGTTGCAGCAAACACCATTGACAGAGACTTAGAGTCTGATGTTGTACTCGGTGGCAATAAAGTCATCAAGGTACAATGATATTATTATTATTATACGTATACATTAATACATAGAAACACAGAATGTTTGAGTTTGCTGATAAAAATCTTGATTGATTTTCAGGGCGAAGGAATACACTTTGGAAATGTTAGTAAATCTCCAGTGTATCCTCTGATTCTTGGCAAGACTGCCAAGAACGCTGATACTTCAGAAGGAACAGCCAGGTGAAAACTGAAAACACATTGGTGGATTCAAAAACAATACCTTGATATATAAGGAAGCTTTACCTTGTATAGTACGTTTTGATTAAATACTTGGTTTTTCTTTCTTTTCAGAAAATGTGAATATGGTTCTCTAGATCAAGAAAAGGTGAAAGGGAAGATTGTGTTATGCGAGAACGTGGATGGAGAATATTTTGCATCAAACGCTAGGGACGAGGTAAAGAGGAAAGGAGGTATCGGTTGCATCTTTGTAGATGACAGAACAAGAGCTGTTGCTAGCGCTTATGGAACTTTCCCTACGACCGTCATTGACTCAAAGGAAGCAGCTGAGATCTTCTCCTATCTCAACTCCACCAAGTATACTTCTTAAACAAGCCATCTCAAGAGCTCTATAAACTGTAACTTATTTAGTCAGAAAATATCTAATGAATGAATGAAAATCTTCTGATGCAGAGATCCTGTTGCAACAATTCTCCCCACTGTCACAGTTGAGAAGTTCACACCAGCGCCTTCTGTTGCATATTTCTCTTCCAGAGGTCCTTCAAGCATCACAAGAAGCATTCTCAAGGTAAATTTCTCCAAGAACTTGTGGCCTTCTTTAGTCTTTTTCAAGAAACTGATTAAAGCATCTATATACAGCCTGACATTACAGCACCAGGAGTGGCGATACTAGCTGCTTGGACCGGAAAAGACTCAAGCATTTCACTGCAAGGCAAGCCTCCTTCTCAGTTCAACGTCATATCAGGAACTTCCATGGCTGCTCCTCACGTTACAGCTGTTGTATCTCTCATCAAATCACAGCATCCCACATGGACTCCATCTGCTATCAAATCAGCAATCATGACAACAGGTTATATACATGTCCACTTTCCATTTGCATATTTTTATCATTGCATCTTGTTGTAACAATAATATTCATTTGCAGCGACTCAAACGAACAACGAGAAAGGTCTTATAACAACAGAAACAGGCGCAACAGCAACACTTTATGACACTGGAGCAGGAGAGCTAAGCACAACAGCATCAATGCAGCCAGGACTTGTCTACGAGACCACTGCTGTTGACTACTTGCACTTCCTCTGTTACTATGGATACAACGTAACCACAATCAAGACTATATCAAAAGCTGTTCCAGAGAATTTCACTTGCCCTGCAGATTCAAAACTAGACTTGATCTCAACCATCAATTACCCTTCGATTGGAATCTCTGGATTCAAAGGAAATGAGAGCAAGACAGTGAGTAGAACAGTGACCAATGTTGGTGGAGACGGTGTGGCTGTTTACACAGTTAGTGTGGAGACACCACCAGGGTTTAGTATTCAAGTGACGCCAGAGAAACTCCAGTTTACAAAAGATGGTGAGAAGTTGACTTATCAGGTGATAGTCTCTGCTGCTGCTTCTGCTTCACTCAAGAAAGATGTATTTGGGGCTCTTACTTGGTCTACTTCCAAGTACAAAGTCAGAAGCCCAATTGTAATTAGTAGCGAGAGTAGCAGCACAAACTAACTAAAATGGTATTAAAAAAAAGTTATGATGAATATGAAATAATAAAAACTTAAATTAGAGTAATGTTAACTACATCTTTTCTGATTGATGAAATGATGAATGCTCAAGTAGGTCAAACTAGTAAACAGGGAACAATCTTAAAAATCGGCTTTGTCACATGTAATTAAGAATATTATCTCCATTAACTACAGAATATAAAGCAGAAGATCAACAATTCTATAATCAAGTCTCTTTAGAGAAATTATCACCCTTTTTAATAACCATGCAGAAAATGTCTCCTTGAAGTCAGGCAGTCTTGTTTTCACACAAAGAGAGTGTATCTGCTAAACTACCTGCACTTCCCTCGTTAAAATAGGCAAAGATTGAAAATTAACCTAACACTTCTGAAAATTGTACATGTTTGTGATAAAGACTATTAAGAAAGAAACATAAGGCAGGAGTTAGAAGGAAACTGGAAGCATTCTTGTTCTGTTTCTTGAAGGTTAACGATGAAAAGATTCTCTACTGTCACCGTCATCTTCTTTGTGTTTCTCCTTCTGTCTGCGATCCAAAACTGTGAGTCTGAAACAAGCAAGTCAGGAGATTATATCATATACATGGGAGCAGCATCCTCAGATGAGTCAACAGGCAATGACCATGTTGGGCTTATGAGCACAATGTTAAAACGGTGATAACTAAAAACCAACACTCCTTTGATTTTCTAAACATACTTCTTGTTTACGCAAAATATTCAGAACAGTTATCTTACTTTGCAATAGGAGCGGGAAAACACCCAGGCACAGATACAAACATGGATTCTCTGGATTCGCAGCCCATTTATCAGAAGATGAAGCGCGCATTATGTCCAAGCAACCAGGAGTAGTGTCTGTGTTTCCTGATCAGATGTTACAGCTCCACACAACTCGTTCATGGGACTTCTTGGTGCAAGAAAGTTACCAAAGACAGACTCATTTCACTGAAACAAACTCTCAACAAGAATTAGATGTGGCAGAAGGAGACACCATTATCGGTTTCATTGATTCAGGTCAACAATTTATCTATGCATTGTCTACTTCCAGTAAACTAAAAGACTCAATGCTGCATATTCTTGATGGTGAAAAACAGGAATCTGGCCAGAGTCGGAGAGCTTTAACGACAGGCACATGCACCCAGTCCCAGAGAAATGGAAGGGCACTTGCATGAGAGGGAAGAAGACACAACCTGATTCTTTCCTTTGCAATAGGTAAAAAAAAAAGCAGAGAGCCTTTGACATATGTGTTTGAATCCACTACCTTGTACTTCACGTTTTTAATGTTGACCTAAACAGGAAGATCATAGGAGCAAGGTATTACAACTCTTCATTCTTCCTAGACCCTGATTACGAGACACCAAGAGACTTCTTGGGGCACGGGACACACGTGGCATCGATAGCAGCAGGGAGAATCATCTCTGACGCATCCTACTACGGCCTAGCAGGAGGAACCATGAGAGGAGGTTCACCAACTTCAAGAATAGCAATGTACAGAGCTTGCTCACTCCTTGGCTGCCAAGGCTCCAGCATTCTAGCTGCATTTGATGACGCCATCGCGGATGGAGTCGATGTTATATCTGTATCCATGGGATTGTTCCCAGACAATGTTCTTGAAGACCCGCTTGCCATCGGTTCATTTCATGCAGTGGAGAGAGGGATCACTGTTGTTTGCTCTGCTGGTAACTTGGGACCTTCGAGTCAGTCTGTGGTTAATGCTGCTCCATGGATGATCACTGTTTCTGCCAGCACTATTGACCGTGGCTTTCAGTCCAACATTCTTCTTGGAGGAAAGAACAGTAGACTAATCGAGGTAAAGCCGAAAAAACTTACAAATCAGTAAGACTATTATACTTAAAGATCTTGATTTCTATTTGTAGGGGGTTGGAATAAATCTTGCAAACATTGATAAAACTCAAGCTAACAAGCTTATACACGCAAGATCAGCCAAGAGATTTGATGCTAATGAGGATGATGCTAGGTAGTAACAGTTGCCTTCTTACTTTAACATTATTATACAGTACACTTTTGCTTTATAACTAAAAACAACACTTTCAGAACCTGTGCGGCTGACGCAATGAACGGAACCATTGTTGAAGGAAAGATTGTAGTGTGCGACAATGATGTTGGCGAGAAGGTGATCCAATGGAAAAGCCAAGAGGTTAAGAAACTTGGTGGTACCGGTATGATTCTTATTGACGACAACTCAATGGATCTGTCTTTTATTGATCCCTCGTTTCTAGTGACGATAATCAAAACAGAGGACGGTCTACAAATCATGTCCTACATCAACTCAACAAGGTAAAACAAAATATTATAAGATGTCTCATTTCATAAGACATTATTGATTATTGCATTCAAACAGAAGAGTAATATATATCAAAATCCACTTTGTAGAGAACCAATTGCAACGATCATGCCTACAAGATCACTAACAGGACATGAACTAGCACCATCCATACCATCCTTCTCATCAAGAGGTCCTTACTTGCTTACAAGAAGCATCCTCAAGGTAAAAAAAAAAAAATCACTCTGTTTCAGTATAAAACATTGTTTGCTCATTGTCGACGAATTAACTCCAAGAAAGACGCTGTTACAGCCTGATATTGCAGCTCCTGGGGTCAACATAGTAGCATCATGGCTAATCGGTGACTTAAACGCAGCACCACAAGGCAAGCCACCTCCACTGGTCAACATCGAATCAGGGACTTCAATGTCATGTCCCCATGTCTCCGGTATTGCTGCTCGTCTCAAATCAGAAAACCCTTCCTGGAGTCCTGCAGCTATCAGATCAGCCATCATGACAACTGGTGAGACATCTAAATATCAAGAATCGGTTATGGATTACAGATTTGATCAGCCTCAGTTAACATTCTCTCTGTCTGCAGCTGTGCAAATGACCAACACAGGATCTTATATCACTACAGAAGCAGGAGCCAAGGCCACACCTTATGACTTTGGTGCTGGTCAAGTTACTCTGTTTGGCCCTTCCTCACCTGGACTTGTTTACGAAACCAATCACATGGACTACCTAAACTTCCTCTGCTACTTAGGTTTTGCTTCTGATCAGATCAGGAAGATTTCAAACCGCATGCCACAAGGCTTTGCTTGTCCTGAACAGAGCAGTAAAGGAGACATATCCAACATAAACTACCCATCAATCTCAGTTTCCAACTTCAACGGTAAAGAAACCAGAAGAGTAAGCAGAACAGTGACAAATGTAGCATCACGCCTCGTTGGAGACGAAGATACTGTCTACACTGTGAGCATCGATGCACCAGAAGGGTTACAAGTCAGAGTGGTACCAAGAAGGCTACACTTCAGGAAGATAGGAGATAAACTTAGCTACCAAGTGACTTTCTCATCAACTTCCAAATCCACACTCAAGGAAGATGCGTTTGGATCAATCACATGGTCTAATGGAATGTACAATGTTAGGAGTCCGTTTGCTGTTACCAGCAAAGCCGATGATACGCAAGATCAATGAATGATCTAAAGAGAGCACATAAAGAGCAATAAGAACTTAAATTTCTTAAATTTGTTTCATAAAAGCAATAGATAGATAGGACTTGTTTGTTAGTCGAAACAAATCATTAGAGAGACAACTACAAACCAAAAAAAAATAAAAAATAAAAAGGAAGAAAAAAAAGCCAATCTTGAATCTCGAAAGTTGAAAACTTTTAGTCCTAAAAACACCGAATCCAAATCACTCGAACGCCCATTGATTCTCCTTGCGAACCTCAGCTTCTTCCTCCGGAGTGTAATCGTTCTTGATGTTGAAGTGCTCACGCATCTGCTCTGGAGTCTTGCCTCTCATCATATCGGCCACAGTCTTGCACGTAAGGTCGAGAAGTCCAGTGATGTTCAAATAGTTCGCAGCCTACACATCAAACACAAACCAATCAGCATCTGCTCCAATCAAAACCCTAACAAAATCCAACCTAAAGTCCCAAACTTTAAACCCTAAACGGAGTGAAACAACTTACCAGGATGAGATCGAAGAGAGTAGGCTGGTCGACTTTGACGAATTCGGCGTCCCAGTCCTTGAGCGTGTTGTCCTCGGCGGCGCCGTAGATGTCCTTGTCGCCTTCGGCGGCTGCCTCGACGTGCTTCTTGCAGTACTCGATAACCTTAGAGAGGATGGGGCTGGTGACGTTGGGGAGAGGGATTCCGTCGCCGGCGCAGTCGTCTTCGATCATGTGCTTAATCGTCTGGGACTCGTTAGCAACGGCCTCGTCGACCTCGAACGACTCGCCGTCGGAGCTCTTGAGGACGATCTTCTTCGACATGATGATTCAAAGAGAAGAGGGAAAGAGTAGAGATTTCGAAAAGGCAGAGGAGAGAATCGGCGTTGCGTTGAAAAGAGACGAATGAGAGACTAGAGGTTTGGGAATTGGTCCTCTTTTTATAGACAAACCTATCACAGAAACCCCACCAAAATAATAATAAGATTGTTTAAGTCGGTTTCTTGAAAGTTTTAAGTAAATATCCTTTATTATTAAGAAAAAGGATAAGAACCAAAAAGAAAAGGATGGAAATTTCTAATTTTCCAATTCCAATTTATGGTCAAGGGATTTCCTTCTCTAGATTATAATACTCCAATTTAATATTATAATTAGCTGGAAAATAATGGGAATTCTCCATTCTTTTTAAATGTTAATAACTGTTTGTAATTCCAAAAATACTGTGAAGAAATCTTGAAATGATAATAAGAACAATCTTCTTGATTGATTTGAAACAGAAAGTAATATGGTTTTCTTATTTGTTATGCCATGTATACGTAATTCATACACATATATTAACAAACTTAAGAGACGTATCAATTTCAAACTGACGTGCATTATGATGCGATTCAATGTAAGCATTACTCAAAAGTAAAATAAAAAAAGTAGTCCACAAAAGAAGGTTAAAAATAATGGTGATGTTTCTCTTGTCCTCTGAATTGTGTTATTTTGCGTTATTATTGATTATCGACACTAATCCATACATAGAGAGAGGGCTGAGAGGCCTAAAAAGGGGCTCATTGTGAACTAACTACTAACCAAGTACCGGACTGAAATCACGGTTCATGGTTCTTCTCACACGTCTTGAGACTATAAAATAAAACGTATAAAAAGAAGAATAAAATAGTGACTAAGCGAGACTACTTCTGATGGTACTGACGATCTTGGGTACAACAGTTTTGTATGCTTTTTCAGAAGGATGAGCAAAGTCCCAGAACACGTGATTAGCCGAATGCATGCATGGAACCGGAGTCATCACCGAGCAACAACATGGTGTTGCAGTTGTAAATCCTGAAAATTGTATATAATTAATTACCAACCAAATAAAAGAACAAGCCATAGATACATATTCATGATTAGCGAGTATATGTTAGTCAATGTACCATATTGCGTAGGATTATCGATGACAGCAAGAAGTGAGTTATACATATCGATGTAGACGAATTTTGCATCGGGGTGACTCTGGCTTAATTTACTGACCAAGTTCATTAACTTTTGATTAAATATTTTAGCACCATAGTTTACATTCGGAAGACATATCAGATTTCCCGCCATTTGTCTGCTCCCTGGCAAACACCCTAATGGCAACGTTCCAAGAATCGCAAATTTTCTCGATCCCAAATCATATAAATTCTGTTATCATAGAAAAGAATAATTATAACCAACAACATTACATGAAAAAATAATAGCCAAAATATAATGATGAACCGCTTTGCGTTACCTGGATGAACGTAGCTTTCCAAGCTATGAGCTGATCGGTGTATGTTTCGATATTGTATTGCAATTTCTTGGCCGGAGTTGCAAAATATGTGATGGCAAATATCGTTATTTCCAATAGAAATTAGAGTCACAGCATTGGCTAAAATTTGTTTGGCTTGAGCGGCATCTCCAACTTGCTGGCTTAATTTTTGTATGTAATTTTGGTAGTCTGTCACCTGTTCTTGTACATGGATAACCCCCTACAAACGAGCCAATGATAACTAATCAAAGATCATTAAATTTCTATTCAAGGTCATAATAATCAAAATGTGTTTGTCTACCTGTATGGATGCAGTGAATTTGTCTAATCCTGAACCACCAGACGCAAAACAAACGCCAGTAGGAAGCTCACTACCTTTAAGCATCATGTTATGATAGGGTGGTAGAAGATCTTTCACTCCTAAACCCTCGGCTACATATACATATATAACATTTCGATTTAGAATGTGTGGCTATAACTATTTATTTGCTCATTAGGTCAAAGAATGTGGAAATGTAGTTTATATAAAGAATAATATACCAACTAAATCCGACAGAACTTTTCCGTTCCCGAATCTTCCGGTAGGCATATGGTAAGGAAAATCGCGTCCATACGGCAAAAAATTGGCCCTCGTCACTGTCATGCGAAAATTGTTGTTACCAGTATCGAGAATCGAATCTCCAAATGCAAGAACTGCTGGAAATGCTCCATTTGTATAGCTTGAACACATGAAATCCATAAAGAAAATAATACTACTAGAAGTTTGGGGGCTGTATAATCCATGTCAAAGAGATTGCTAAGTATTTTGTATTTTTTTGATTTTTTTTTTTTTCAATTTATGCAGCTGTTTTATTTTATCTTTTTGGTTTTAAAATTTTAAGATTATTACCATATAGGCTTGCATAGATTTATACACAGGTGAAGGGTTGAGAGAGTTCATCGAGTTCCTTAAACAATGGTATGAAACTTGTTCGTTTCTGTGGTTAAACGAACACTCCCCACTTCTATCATTAGACTTATTTTATATTTAGCCAATCCAGCAAATCAAGTCTGACCCACTTATATCTATTCAATTTATCCATCAGAATGTGCAGCTTCAATTACATTTCTTGTTATATGGTTGCTTCTTTATAGTATGGTTGATTAATGGTTTTTTTTTTTTTTTGGCAAATCAAGCTACTTATCGTCTCGATACAATACAAAGTAAAAAGGATGTAAACGTCACTAATAACGTCACTACCATGATGATTATCTTGACGTATGGAAAAAGGGATCATCATTAGCTACATAGTTGTAGCGACGAATAGCTATCGATCAAATTAATTGATTGATTTAGTTCAGTACTACGACGTAGCCCAGTTGTGAATATTCACAAGATCTCCAAAAAATCTGGTAATATACAATTATTATATGTTTTACCTTTCTGAAACCAAGTGAATAGTGGTGAAATTTTATCTTAAAATTAGACGTTAATCTTCGACCAAAAAAAGAAAAAAATTGGACCAAATAAATAATCAGACGTTAACCAACAGAGTGGCTTGCAAAAGAAAATTTATACTACTCCCTCCGTTTTTTAAAGATAAGTTTTCTAATTTTTTCACACAGATTAAGAAAAAGTTGATTTTCAATCATTAGTGCATAGATTTCTGCAATAAAACAACTTTTTATAATTTTAAACCAATAAAAATCCAACAAATATAATCATTGTATCTTGAAAACTGAAAAAGTGCATCAAAAAGGTAAAAATTTTATCTTTGTGAAACAACACATAATGGCTAGAAAATTCATTAAAAAAAAACGGAGGGAGTATTTTATTTCTAACTAGATTAAGACCCGCGTATACGCGGGTTTATTTTAAGATTTTGTAATAAAATCATGGAAAAGTATTAAACCAAATTTGATCATTTTAAAGTAAACAGAATAATATTAAAAACCCGATAAAAATATTTAAATAAAATAAGATCGGTAACCTTTTTACGTTTTTATTGTAATTGATATTTTTTTGAATTCATGATATAAAAAATGAATTAATTTGTTTTATTTTTATTTTTATCCAATATAGAAAGACTTATATATGTCTAAATATGATCAACTGATTAATTAATTCAACAAAACTTTATTATTCCATTCAAGAGATTTCAATTGATGAAATCTTTATTTAATACCTAATATTTATATATTGCAGATACATTATACCAAAAATAATATGAAAATATATTAAACTATTTAAAATTAGAATATCGGTTCATTATATTTTCTTAATATTAGTTAGTTGCTTGATAATTAATTTGTTAGTTTTCTATTTATATTGTTTCTTTCTCAATTTTGTTTTTGACTCAGACCATTATAAATTTTCATTTTCATTATTAGTTAGTTTTTTTATTATCATTATTTTATTACACATATCGCAATTTTGTGAGTTATAAAAATCATACGTATTGCTATCATGTTGTTTGCTTTGATGAGTTTGTGAATGAGAAAAAAAAGACTACTTTAACTCTCTTTTTATAGGGGTTCATGTAACTTATTCCATGCAGTTATAGGAAATTTAGTTTACCTAACCTATTTCATGTACTAATAGGATTTTATTTATTTCATTAATTTGAATCTTATATGTGTTTGGATAATATAAATTTGATGAATGAGAAACCTTTTTCTATTAGGATATGACAAATATAATTTTTTTTTCTTTTAACTATAAAAGATTAACTAAACCTAACCTATTTCATGTACTAATAGGATTTTATTTATTTCATTAATTTGAATCTTATATGTGTTTGGATAATATAAATTTGATGAATGAGAAACCTTTTTCTATTAGGATATGAAAAATATAATTTTTTTTTCTTTTAACTATAAAAGATTAAAATTTCGTTTTTTTTTCCTTTATCTAATTTTTTTAATTATTATTTTTTTCTTTTTTTTCTAAGACACATGTCACGATCTTAACGGACATAACATTAAAAGTGACACATGTCGCAATCCTAAATTTTATAAAAATCCTACGTGTCGCAACCACGTCGCGCATCCAGCTTTATATAATAAGATTTCGTGAGCTACAAGAAAAGCAAACAATGTGAGTAAAATAGTGTCACTACTCAAGATAAACGGTGGATGTATCTATCAAAAAGGATTTTGGTTAAACTTTTGTAGAATCTTTGGGTAGGATGGAAACTATCCCAAAATATGTAAGAAGATATGTTAGAGCACACAGATGTTGTGAATCGATTGCAGAGTGGACCTGCTTCCACAAGTCCAGTTCCACAACAACCTTTCTTTATTTCCTCAAACCCTGCAATAGTTTCCCAACTCATCAAGTTATATATATGCATGATCCCATGAAATTAGTAGTATTTAGAGTTACAAGAAGTCGCGTCCCAATATTACCATAATCTTGTGGATTTTTCAAGATGTCACTGAAAGGAGAGTACATGTCGATGAAAATCAGATTAGAATTTGGTAGGGTTTTTGCCAATTGATCCAAAGTGATGGAGAGTTTTGCGTTGAAAAGCTGAGAAGCATAGTTTAGATCTTGAGCACAGTTTCTAAGAAGACCTCCCTTTAGAGTTCTTTGTGATGGTGTGCATCCAAGTGGCGGTGCTCCTATCACTGCTATTTGTCTTGCTCCGTATCCATATAATTGCTGATCAATTATATCCATATGATAAGGATAGGTTATTATTCTTTATTTATAAGTTCAACAAAATGTGATATACTTCAACAAAATGTGATATACTTCTAAAATAATGTGGAGTTTTTGTTTGAAAAGAAAGTTGTTGTAAACTTGTAATCGTAGTTGTTGGCAAATTTAGTTTTATTGGGGGTAAAGTTATGATGCAAATGTGAAGTTACGTACCATAACGAAACTTGCAGCAGAATTAGCCATCACTGAAGTAAAGTAGTCAACATCGTAAATAAGCGATTGAGCACCTTGACCATAATATGTGATGGCTAGATCGTTGCTGCCTGCGACCACAATGGCTAAGCCTTTGGCTAATATGTGATTAGTCTTCTCTTGTCCTACTAACCTCTTTACTCTTTCTATGTAGTGTTGGAAATATGTCAATTGGTCCAACATTGAATGTACTCTCTGCTTATATATATTTTTTGATCAAATGATAATTAGGATAAATTTTTTTAGATATAAAATTAAAAAAAATCTAGAGGATCTTTGTGTTGATCTTACATATATTTTGGGTGTCAAACGGTGATAGCCAGTACCACCTGACGCAAATGATACACCCGTGAGAAGATCTTCTGGTTGTATGTCGGGCTTAAAATATGCCGGCACAATCGGTTTCACTCCCAAATATTCGGCTATAACGATTGTGAAACCATAAAGTCTAATAAGTAGAGGAGATTTATTTACATAATGCTGCCTAAAAGAAAAAGAAAGGGAGAGAGAGTATACGAACATATATAATCGGTAGGGACCTTTCCGTTGCTGAATCTACCGGTGGCAACTCCGAGAGGAAAGTCCATACCATATGGACGATAATTACATTTCATTCCTGTTGTTAGGTTATTATTATTTCCTGTGTCAAAGATCGAATCCCCAAAGAAAAACACGGCCGGTGTGGTTTTGTTCTCTGGCGATGGAGATGGGCCAGGTGGTGGGCCTGACCCAGATTCTTGCGGTGGCCATGGCAGCACTCGTCGGTGGTGGTGAATCACTTGGAAATGGGTCGTGGTCACGAAGAAGATACAAAATATTAAGAGAAAGATAACAGCACATATAATTAATCTCCAATGAACCTGCCTATATTGTTTCATGGTTTTATGCCTATAAACCTCTTTTTCAAAAAAGCTTCTCTCACCAAAATACAGATGAAAAAATTATCAACTGATGCCATTGTCTAAGTGTATATCTTAATATATGCTTTGGACATGCGATTGATGTGCCGGTTAAAGATGCGTGTGTCTCAAGGCTTCTTTTTATCATACGTTTTGAGACTTTCTTTATATTAAGCTATAATTTTTCCGTATTAGGGTCCAAAAGAGTATTCCTACGCAAGTGTAACCCAGTTGCCAATCCAGCTTAACTCTCAGTAACTGATTTACTAGAATCTCCTCAGAAACTTTCATAGAGTATATCTAAAATTAATCAGCGAGGAGTAGATATGTGATCCCTTATCAGATGGTTTCTCTTTTAAAATGACAAAGTTTTGGACCTTCGAAATCATGTGAAAGCAAATGAATTTTTACCTTTAAATCAAATGATAATATATGGAGCAACTTATATGTATATATATAGTAATGTTTTTGATCCGGAATTCTTAATACATAATAATGCACATGGTCACAAGGAAGTAATTTGACTGCTGCAAAATTCACATGGCCTACACTAGTACGTACCATCGCATAACTGGCGGCAGAATCAACCAATTTGGATGTAAAAGAATAAGATTTATTCTTTGACCCATTGAGCACATGCGAACACATAGGCTAAGCCATTGGTTATCATTTGGTCGCTCTTCTCTTCGCCGAATAACTTCTTCACTCTCGCTATGTTACACCAGCTTGGTTATATGCCGGTTAGGAACTTAAGATAATAACAAATTAACATATATTATTCTTCTATATATCTTTTAGATTCTCTGACCATTCTTCTGAGTTCTACTTCTATTTAATTACTTTTCGAACATACGAAATATATTAGTTGGATAAACAACTGAGCTTCTTGGCTCCGTGTTTGTAACTTTGTGTGTCATAAAATACGATTTTTTATAGATAATATTTATTTAGCCATTAATCATGATCATCAATCCGTTTATAGACAAAAGAAAAATCCCACATAATGTTAAGCAAACATGAGACAAGTCCACAAGCCCAACATTATCAGACAGTAAGAGCAAGTGATTTTTAGGAAATTATGGCAGCATATATATCAATGATCCACATAACTATCTCAATTGTTGTTTGCTTCATTGCTTGACTACATTATTAATACATTGCAAAAGATCCTTTACCGTAAGATAAAAAGATAAACAATGCAAGAAAAATAGGTATAAATCAGATATAACGGATGTATTGTTTTACAAGTCTTTTGTTTAAGGTTGCATAAGCTCTTTCAGTTGGATGGATACCGTCCCAAAACACATAAGACGATGTATTGGCACATATTTTTCTTGTAGACTTTCTGCAGAGTACACCTCCTCCCAATATTCCGACTTTGCAACATGGTTTCTTTATCTCCTCAAATCCTGCATGCAAATATATATTTAAAAAAATTCAGAGATCATATATTCTAAAGAACTTAATTATATGAACTGTCAGAGTTAAAAAAAAATAATTACCATAATCCTTAGGGGTTTCTAATATCTCACTGAAGATAGAGTAGATGTCCATGTACACCAATGTAGAATTTGGTAGGGTTTTTGACAGTTGACCCAAAATAATGAAGAGTTTAGAGTTAAAAAGCTGAGAAGCATAATTTAGCTCTTCGTTACATTTCTTTTTGTCTTCATCTAGTTGTGATGGTGTACATCCAAGTGGTGGTGTTCCGACCACTCCTATACGTCTTGCTCCATATCCATACAATTGCTGCCCAAATATTTGCATTTACATTATTTTTTGTTGACATTGAGAATGAAATAGCTCAACTGGATAAATATTTGTAAGCATTGGATATGAAATTCTGTTAGGAAGCAATGATAAATAATAATACGTACCAAAACGAAGCTGGCGGCAGAATCAGCCATGATAGTGGTATAACCGTCAATGTCATTTTTGAGGCGTTGAGCACCACTTCCATAATATGTATAAAGCAGATCATTGCCTCCTCCGACCACAATGGCTGCTCCTTTGGATATTATTTGGTTGGTCTTCTTTTTTCCTACTAACTTCTTCATCCTCTCTTTGTAGTCTTGGAAATATGACAATTGATCCAACATTGGTATAACGTTCTGATTTAAATACATCAAATGATCAGTATGCAATGATAACTAATAAGGTTGCAAAAAAAAAAGTAAAGCTTCTATGGGATTGATTCGATCTTTACCACTGCTTCAGATGTTTCAGGAATGAAACCAGCACCACCCGAAGCAAAAGACACGCCCGTAAGAAGATCGCTTTGTTGCAGTTGGTTTACTTGTAGTTTCTGGTCTAAATATGCCGGTACTATTTCTTTTACTCCCAGATATTTGGCTATTGTGGGATTAGGAAACAAAAGAAAAAATGATTAGAAGAAAAATAATCGGTTTTGGACCGAGAAGAAAACATTTTAAGAAGAAAAGGAGGGTGAGAGAGAGAGAGAGAGAGAGAGAGAGAGAGTACTAACCTATATAATCGGAAGCGACTTTTCCGTTGCTGAATCTACCAGTGGCAACTCCCATAGGAAAATCCATACCATAGGGACGATAGTTACTCTTTATCTTTGTCTTTATATTATTGTTATTTCCTGAGTCAAAGATCGAATCCCCAAAGAAAAACACGGCGGGTATGGTTTTGTTCTGTGGCTTAGGTGGACTAGGTTTTGGCGATGGGGCAGGTGGCTTAGGTGGGCTAGGTTTTGGCGACGGGACAGGTGGCTTAGGTGGGCTAGGTTTTGGCGATGGCTTAGGTGGCTTCGGTGGACTAGGTTTTGGCGATGGTTCAGGTGGCTTATGTGGCGATGGAGACGGTCCTGGCTTTGGTGGTGGGCCAGGTGGTGGTGATGGCTTTGGTTGAGGCTTTGGTGGTTGTGGTGGGCATGGAGATGGGCTAGGTGGTGGTGGTGGTTTTGGTTGAGGCTTAGGTGGTGTTTGTGGGCAAGGAGCTGGGCTAGGTGGTGGTGGTTTTGGTTGAGGCTTAGGTGGTGTTGCTGTTGGTGGGCATGCAGGTGATGGCGGTGGCTTTGGTTGAGGCTTAGGTGGTGCTGATGGCTCAAATGGCCAAGGCTGTGGCTGGTACCCTGGAAACCCTGGCCACCATGGCCAGAGCCGTCGCTGGAATACTTGGGCATTGGTTGTTGTTACGAAGGAGATACAAACGTATAAGAGAAAGAAAACACAACGAAATATTCTTGAATATGAACAAGAATCGACCAAGAAAGAATGCTTCATTCTTTCTCTACAAGTACTAAGACAATTTCCATTCAAGTGTTTCCCACTGTTATGTCAGTGTGTGGGTGTATATATGCATCGCGAAAATTAGGACATACGATTTATGTGACCGCGTTGAAGTTGCTTGTGTCTCAAGACTTCTCTATCACACATTTTGAGACTTTCCTTTTATTCTGTCTTGAGTTTCCAGTCGGAACTACTTAACTCTCTGAAGCATTTTTTGGTGACTTCTCAGAGCATAGAAGCTCATGCATGATTAAGACACTTTATTGAATCTTCACTATCAACATTTTACCGAAAAAGTTTATCAGATGTCACTTCATAGTAATCCGTTAGAATTTAGAGTTAGGGTTTATGGCATGTAATATTGATGTCTGCCCTTTTTAGAAGCTCCAAATCGAATGGCCCTTTTTAATATTTTCGTTAATGTCTGATCTCACAAACCTTTTTAGCTATAGTTTTTTTCAACCAATCAAATTTTCCCCTTTGCCAATAACAAAAAAAAAAAAAAAAAAAAAAAAAAAAAAAAAAAATCCTTTGGAGAGGAATGAGAGAAATTTCACTTAGTGAAACAAGAAGAAGAGTGTATTTTGATTTAGTTGTATTCATCACACAAAAGTTTAACAGCATTTTCACAGCATCTCAATCGTTAAGGTTCTCAAAAAAGGGTTATCCAGAATAGGATAAATACTTTCTTATAATTTCATTTATACATTTAAATTTCTTCATAAATTTGAACCATTTAAAAGAAGACATGTGAGTTCTTAGTTCTCATGGGTTCTCTCATGCATGTCACTATATACATTGATCATGGATTAAGACATTAAATAAAAATGTTTCACATATTTTATTTAGCCAAAGTACATCATCAAAGATATCATCTTAAAAACTACATTTTAATTGTCATAGAAAGGGCCCAAGTCAGTCTCTACAAACTTTTTGCTCAAAATCCTATAAGCTCTTTCTGTTGGATGGTAACTGTCCCAAAACATATAAGAAGACACATTCTTGCATAGAAGTGATGTAAATTTGTTGCAAAGCGGACCTAACTCGATCAGCCCCGTCCCACAACATCCTCTACCAATCTCTTCAAATCCTGCAAAATAAATTCCCCAAAGGAAAAAAACCCATAATCTTTAGAACCATTGACACATGTATAATAAGTGTATACGTGGCTAAACATTACCATATTCTTTTGGGTTCTGGATCATATGAGTGAAGATTGAATAGATGTCAATATACACCAATGTGGCGTTTTGCAAGGTTTCACCCAGTGAATGCAAACTTGTAGAGAGTTTGGTATTGAAAAGCTGAGCTGCAACGTTTATTTCAGCAGCACAGTTTCTATCAATTCCTCCTCTTGCGGTTCTCTGAATTGGTATACACCCGATCGGGGAAACACCAATGAACCCTATTTTTCTTGCTCCGGATTCATAGAGTTGCTGACAAATCCATATTCATTAGGCTTTACGTACTAGCTCACATAAACCAATATATAAAACCAGAGTATATATTAATTATAGTTTCATTTTATACCATAGCGAAACTTGCAGCAGAGCTAGCCATATAAGAGGTATACGAATCAATGTCATATAAGAATTCTTCTGCATGTGAACCATAGTAGGTATTGGCTAGATCATCGCTGCCCGCAATCACAAGGGCTAGGCTTTTGGATACGATGTGGTCAGCTTTCTCTTTTCCCGCAAAGCCTTTGACCTTCTCTATGTATTCTTGAAAATATGTCAATTGGTCTGACATCGGTATCGCTCTCTTGACACAAGATTAATAAACAAAACGAAATCAAATGAAAATGTTTAAAAAAATAAAGGAGATATATTAAAAAAAAGCCAGGGAACCTAAGTTAATGTTATTACTACTACGAAAGGTGTCAAAGGATCGAAGCCAGAACCACCCGAGGCAAAGGATACACCAGTGAGGAGATCTTCCTTGGTCAGTCCCGGTCTCAAGTATGGTGGTAAAATTGGTTTTACCCCTAAAAATTCCGCTGTGAAAGGAAGAGAAAAAAAAAAGACCAAAAAGATCAGTATCAAGTTTTATCAAAAAGAATAAAAAAATTGGATTAGTTTCAAGTATGCTGGCATGTGAGCTTACGTAGTTATGCATGAATATATTTCACGTATATATTTTTTTCCTTTTGGTAAAATCAGATTTTTTTTACGTATAAAGTTACAGAAATCAGTAGTTTCTGATTTTATCATGATAAGAGAAAAGGCAAAGTCACCGATAAAATCAGCAGGGATTTTGCCGTTGCAAAATCTGCCGGTGGGAGTTCCATGTGGAAAATCCATGCCGTAGGGGAGAAAATTAGCTCTGATCAGTGTCAAAATGTAATCGTTATTTCCCGTGTCTACGATTGAATCCCCAAATGCAAAGATCGCAGGAAACGTCGTGTTGCGTCGCCCAGGACTTGGACATGGCGGCTTTGGCTCTGGTGTCGGCGCTGGCCCTGGACTTGGACCTGGCCCTAGAACTTTCTGTAAGCGGCTCGCTGAAGCATGGATTGTCAAGAAGATAAAAAGGAGCGGGAGAAACAAGACACATCGAAGTAGTTTCGAACCGGACAAAGAACAAGAACTTGAAACCAAGCCATCTTGCAACATATTAGGTGTAAGATGTCTGACACGGCAAAAAGAACTTGTTATGAAGCTGAGCTTGTTATGAAGCTCAAGAATATAAAGGAGTGGAAGACAAAAGTAGTCAAAAGTGCTTTTCACTTGAAGAGAAATACAATCTGGACACAAAGCATGCGGTTTAGATGGTTTACAAGAAGGAGATGCTTGTCTCTTATAGCTTCATCATTCACACATTTCAAACGTTCCTCAAATTCCGTAAACCATACGAATATCTACATTATTAGAAAAGAGTTTCGATCGAACGAAAGGGAGAAAATTTAAGATGATCCCATCCAAAAACAATTTGAACAAGTGATCATAGACATTGTAAGTTTGACAAGTAAATCAATCCATCAGTCATTAAAGAGCCAAGACTTGGTAAAATAAGACTGTTCATCACTCAAAAGACTTTCATATACACACAAATGGGGGAAGAAACAATACCCACATGAGCCAGGACCAACAACTTATTTTGGTTTTGATAAAACTCGATTTCAATAACCAAATTTCATACTTTTTTTATCGTTATATATGTCAAGCAAAAAAACGCGGGTAGGAAGATCAATGCGCGCTAACGAGGAAAGGGTTTTGGCAAACTCCGCACTCGATGGTCTCTGATCCTGAGATTGGAACCTGAACCTGCGATTCAAATGGAAATGGTTAAGGGACAATCTCCATGATTCAGTTTTAATAGACAACCACATCTAGCAGTTTAATTCTAGAGCTTACACGTAGTTCTATTTATAAAACTAGAATCCTACGATTATGTCAAATGGAGAGATTACATAGACGCATGATAAGACACATGACCTATACCTATGAGGGCCTCCCAGTATTCGTTGTTCTAGAAAATATAGGGTCCCGAAATCATACAAAGAAAGATGAATCTAACCTGTAAGTGCACTGTGCATGTTGGACAAGCTACTTCTTTCATCCGCCTCCCAGATCCTTCCCTAGAACCTGTTAATTAAAACCATACAATTCATTCTCAGTAACCATGATCAAACCAGAAACAATAAATCAACAGTATGTGTGTTAAGCGTAATGGTCTACCAGATGAAGAAGACTTGCGGTTTTTCTCCATTTCCTCCTGTGTTAAACAAACATCCGCAATTAGTCAATTAGAAAACGATTATACAGTTTGTGCCGGATATCAACTCAACTTCAAAATTATTGAAACGAAATAAAGAACCAAGAGAGATAAAGCTCACCTGTAACTTCCTAGCGAGGTCTTCATGGCTCTGCACACTCACGTTCCTGCTAGCGGATTCCTTGGCATTACTCAACCTTTGAGACACTTCTGCCTGCACAGCAAGAATCAGAATCATGTAAGTAAACATTGTAGCAGCACTTTTTAACTAGAACAGCCAACCAAGGTTCTCTATCTTAAAGCCTGATCAACACATTCGCAGGCATCTATGGAACATGATTCAGGAAAAATGAGCAGAAGTATAAAGCATACCATGCACCGGTCGCAAACACGGACTTGGGGAGCATTGTCCTCAGCAGTGAGAGCAATCCTGCCTTGAGTACACTTGTCACAGAAGACGTCGCCACAATTCCTGCAGTGATGCTGAAATAAAAATAATAATAATCCATAAGGAATGTCAGCTCCGACACAGGCGAGAATTTAATTCCAGATAAGAGGATCAGACAGGGGAAGCATACCCTTCGCATAAATGCACCGAAATCTGAACCACATGATGTGCACTTGGAAACAGCTTCATCAGGGACCTGAAGCCAGAAAAAAAATGTAATGAGAAAACCACAGCTAACAAATAACGATAAGAATGGGATATTGTTTCCACCAAAATCTAGCTTATCGATTTGACAACAAAATAGTTATGTTAGTTTTCCAAAGGAACGAAAAAATCATACCCAATGATCTTTCTCCTCATTCACAGGCTTTATAATGTTCATCCAATCACCCAATCCTTTCTTCTTCTCAGCAGATTGTTCAACCAGTTTTCCAGAGGTAGGAGGCCTGCTACTTCCCCCAATCTCCTTGGCCTATAAACGCACAATCAGAAAAATATTGGATTGGATTAATGAACGGAAAACAAGATGGAATTGAAACTTATTAAGCCTAAATGATAGTATAAAACATGCAGGTTTAGAGGAACCTGAAACATTGCAGCTGTCACTGTATCCAGAAGGGTGTTAGTGGTGTAACTATTTGATTGCAGCCTGATACGTTTAGCGTCAATGTCTACCGGAGTCTTAGACCAAAAAGCCAGAATGGAAGAATCTAGTTTCTGATAGAAAGAAAGATAAACACAATAAACATAAGACATTTCTTCAATCATGCAAATGGAACATAAAAGAGTCTTGAGAAGAAGTGAAGCTAATCACTTACTTCGCATCTTGTGATGTTCTCAAGTGGATATATTCTCAACGTTCGGCTACTACTCGGATCAAGCATACGGAGTCCATCCAAACCAATCTGCTACCACAAAAACATACACCCGATTAACTATAATCAGAACCTAAATGATCAAAACATTATCACTGAAGCAAATTCAGAACTCGAATTGAAGAAGAAAACATTCAATTGAGCACATTACCTGGCAAAGAACATCGGTTGTGGTTTGTCCATAGGTCTCAGCCAGCAATTTGACACGAAATTTCTGAACACCACCAGTGGCATCTTCCTGCACATCAGCCTTGGGAACAGCTCTCACGATTTTAGCAGAATTCGAGCTCGGAGTGGAATCTCTCCCTGAGGAGGAAAAGCTAATGGATCGTCCATAATCGTCGAACAAGGTCGAATTGGATGATTTCGGTTGAGTTCCACGAGACCCGTAAGGCTCCACTTTGCCTCCTTGATAAGCATAGACGCCATCTCCGTAGGAATCTTCATACGAAGAAGGATATCCTCCGCTCTCAGTTCGTTTTCCGTATAGATCTGATCCTACATCCGATCTGCTCCTGCCGTAATCGCCGTAACCAGGTTGATCGAATTTCGCCGGCTTGTCGAATGGTTTTTCGTACGAAGGAGGAATGGAAGATCCTCCGCCAGTGTAAGGAGGTGCAGAGTATAGGGAGGATGAGTAAGGCGGAGCGTGAACAGGATTCGGATTCGGTGCAGCCCCAGATGAAGGAGGAGGAGGCGGCGGAGCAGAATAGCCAGAGGTCTGATGCTGATCGTACGGTGGATAGTACATCGGCTGCGTGGTGGATTGCTGATACGGAGCAGTAGAGTCAAATGATCCGTAAGACGATGCAGGTGGATGAACCGCGGGCGGTTGGCTGAAGGTGGAATAAGAATTAGGGTTTAAAGACGTCGCCGGAGGTGAAGGAGGAAGCGGTTGTGCCGCGGGAGTGAAGGAAGGAGCTGAAGGAGGGATGTGATCAGTGTTTTGCCCATAAGGAGGGTAATTCTGGGAGTAATTAGAGTAATCGGCGGCGCCATAACCGCCGGTGAACGGTGGCGCCGATGCGTACGTGTTCAGAGTACGATCGGTCGGACCAGCGGCGGTGGGCGCCGGGGGAGAGGGGTTGGGATTAGGATTCGAGGGAGGGTTTTGAAATTGAGAGTACTGGTGGTGATAGTACGAATTGTAATCTCCTTGTTGCATCGCTGAATTCGGTTGATCGGAGTTCGTTTGCTTTAGCGTCGGCGATTATTCGATCAGATTAGTCGGAAGAGAAACGATGACGACGAAAAACGTAGGAGAAGATGAAAGATAGATCGAGAGAGTCAAGGGAATATTTGGTCGTGAAGGGAAGGATTATGAACCGTTCGATATGACTTAACGCGTTATATACGTTCACAAATGATTCTAGCTGTTTTTCTAAGAAAGTGTTAGGACCAGACTCATTAAATTCACATAATCCAATCCAGTTTCCTCGACGGTTTCAGTTTGGGTTAGCAGATGGGCTTTAAAGTCTGTTAAAGCCCAATAACTAAGTCAGAGGACGCAAGGGATAAAAGGGGTATTTCAGATGACGTAGCAATCTCGGACCGAGCTTCACGGAGAGAGGGAATGACGAAACTATCCTTTTAACAAAAGAAGATCTGAGGAAGATTAGGGTTTTCTCATTTATTCCCCCAAAACGTAAGCATAGGCCGAGTCGGCGGATCTCAGAGTTTCACGCGTCTTTAAATAGAGACCATACCCTCTCCATTATTATCTCAACCGCAATTGCTCTCTCCCTCCTTATTTTCTTCTCTCTCTCTTCGATAAACAATTGGAAAACAAAATTAGGGTTCTCTTCTCCGTCTCTTTCTCCGATTTCGATTGATTTCGCGCCAGAGAAGAGGTTGCCGTAGGCGTGATCCGAAACCTAGGCTCGATTAGTCCTCTCCGTGTCCGTGTCCGTGTCCCGTTTATTGTTGAATCGATTCGATCTGAGAGAGAGGGAAAAAGAGAGAGATTAGAAAGCGATGTCGCGATATTTCACATCTCCACCGCCTGTGTATGCGAGGAACTGGACGAATGGTCAGAACTTGGTCGAATCGACTAAGGTTCGTCGAGCACTCAGTTCTTGTGATTGATTCGCATCGGTGTCCTCTCGCCTGAGCATGATTGATTGATTGATGTTCAGGCGGGATTTAATTCTCAAGTTAAAAATTTTGATTTCACCTTATCGTTAGGTTGCAGATAAGATCTGATTGATTGAATTGCAGGAGTAATCTAATTGTTGACTTGTTTCGCTATAGATCTGTGGAACTAATCTGTTTATAATTCCATGTTTCGCGTCTCTTTCGCTAACGATATCGTGGAAACATGTATTTGGTCCCAATTAATAGTCAAACCATAGAGACGTGCTGTGAATATTAGATGTTGACACTTTAACAATTTATTTGGTTGTCTTGTTGAATTGCACCCACGTTGATGGGTTCTCTCTGGTTGCTAACCAATAAATGTCATCTAGTCTAAATCCTTTATTCTGATTGGATTATAAAGATCGAAAGCCAAATAGTCGATTCTAAAAAGGCGCACCGGAAAGAAAAGAAGGAGAAGAAGAGAGAAAAGAAACCAAAGAATGAGAAATCCCATAAAAAGAAGTATATCTCTACCACCACCAAGCAAGTATCGGATGAATCTGAACAGCTTGAGAAGAGTTGTTTGACAGATGAGCACGAGCAGCATCAACAAGTTGGGTACTTGTCTGATGGTAGCCAGAACAGTAACAAGAGAAGAAGGGAAGCTTCTCCTGCCGTTGAGAGCAATATCAAAGGTTTGTGTTCTTTCTTTGATCCATACAAATGTTGATTCTTGTATTGGGTCTCGTGTACTGAAACTGGATACTTTTATTCATATGCAGCTAAACCTGTAGCTGGTAATCCTCTACGGATACGGTTTGTTTTCAAGAAACCAAAAGAAGCTGAGGTTGTGCCTGTTCCTCAGGAGGATCGTGCTTGCTCCACTTCCCAGGCTGAGAGACCCAGCGAAATACCAAGTGCTGTCTCATGTCATGTTGAGAAGCTGCTCTCAACTTCTCTTGAGAGTGAAAAGTTTGTAGTCCCTTCTGAATCAACGAAGCGGAAGAAACATAAGACTAGCAAAGAGTCTCGGTACAATTCATTGTTTGATGAATTGGTTCCTCCTCCCTGCATTTCGATGGAGGAAGATAACAGCAGTTGCGATGATTGGCTTTTTGGTACAAGGCGGCAAGAGAATGCTTATTCCAAAGCTTCTATCAGTAAAGATGAAGAAAGGACCATGAGCTTGCAGAATTCAGGAGATTACTTGTTGCCTAGGGCTCGGTTTTTGTCTGAGGTTGGCATTTTTTCATTACCATACACAGTCCCGTTCTAGGTCACCAGATTGTTTTGTTCTTTCTTTAGCTTAGCCTTAGCCCTTAGCCCTGTACAGTTCCACTGGTTGCAGCAATCGCAATCACAGTGATCTATAATACTTGAATGATCTCTGTACTTTTTGACACTAATGAAAACATTATTTTTTCAAAATTTCATAAGCTGTCTCTCTTCCTCTCACAAGTCACAACCCTTCCACAGTAGGTTTCTTTTGTTGGACTGCTTCTTGAATATGCTCGAAAACAATACGGTGAAAGAAGTTTTGGGTTTAATAAAAGTTGACTTGTTATCATTAGGCTCATGATGTCTCTCAATCGGATCACTTGCATATACAATTTGGGGTGAAAGCAGAAAACAATAGCTAAAACGTAAAAAATAAAAAGTTGCAATAGTAATTAGATTCATATGTCAATACAAAATGATCCTCATCACGAACAAAAGAGAAGGGGGAGAGAGAGCGATTAGTCTACATAGGAAGAGTAGAACACACTGAACTGAAAAGACTCACCAGCAAAGAGTAAAAGACACAACAACAAAGCTTGTTTTAGCAACTATACAAGAAGCTACCCGAAATGTCTCCAACACGTCGAAATTATCATACTAGAAATGGGGACGAATCAAATAAGTCCAAATCATCTTCTTCTTCTTCTTTTTTAGTTGTTTACCTATTCTTAAAAGATTCTTCTTATCACAAGAACGAGCAACGGTTCTTGTTCTTTTTCTTCTTCTTCTGCTTCGGTGGCTGAAGCACAACTTTGATAGCTGCGTCAAACACTGCCTTCACATTCTGTAGAAACCCCAAAAAGAGAAAAAAAACGAAACAAGTTCAGCCTCTTAACGAGAATGCATGTAAACATTAACAACCAGGACAAAGCTATTTTTTATGCCTACCTGTTGCGTCTTTGAACTACATTCGATGTAGACGGCAGAGCCAATCACTTTCCTCAGTTCCTCTCCCTGCATCATCCATAACACCATTAGACCATATATCATCAAGAACTTGCAATCATGGCCAGACTAACCATATAAAAGACTTGATACCTGGTTTGTAGTAATTGGCACTGCACCAGGATGATCTATGAAGAATTGCTTGTCATCTCGAAGGTCTACAAATACAAATTTCATAAGAAAACTTAAAAACTTTGTTGGCGTCACAAGATTTGCGGGAACATAACCAAAGATATTTCAGTCAAAACAATAGCATGATCAGTTCACTGAGGAAAGAGTTTGATTACCGAGTTTTGTTCCAACGAGGATAATGGGAACACCCGGAGCATAATGCCTGAGCTCAGGAATCCACTGAGAGAGGAACATAATGAGTGTTAAGCCACTCATCACAAGTTATATTGGAGTATTATCAAAAGAGACAAACCTTCTTGGCAATATTCTCGTAGCTAGCCTTGCTGATCAGAGAGAAAGCAAGAATGAAAACATCAGCGCCACGGTAACTCAGAGGTCGTAACCTGTTGTAGTCTTCTTGACCTGTTTGCAATCCCCAAAAGCAAACCAAGTCAAAAGCTGAAACACAAAAGATCATTCCAAATTCCAATGTTGGAAACGAAAGATTTACCGGCTGTGTCCCACAATCCAAGATTGACTGTGTTCCCATCTACAACCACATTAGCACTGAAGTTGTCGAAAACAGTTGGAACGTAATCCTGAAAAAAAACAATACACAAGTCGCAGATTTACATTAGCTACAAGATCAATGCTATGCCTTATATCATCGAAATGTGAAATCAAATAAGAACACTATATAACAAATTCAAATTGATCAATTTCTAGAAAACAGATCATGAGATAGATGTATGAGATGGCTGAAATTACAGTCTACAGCAAATTTGATTGTGTCAGATGAAATTACTCATGATATTGGTTACAGAACATGGTCGATTGTAGAGATTACTAGCAGATTTAAGATGATATCTCCAAAATTCATTTTCCAGGAAGCTCTTCACAAACAAAAATAGAAATCGGAAAGAGAAGAAAAGTGAAATTACTGTGGGGAAAGTGTTGCTCGTGTAAGAAATCAGCATGCAGGTTTTTCCGACGGCACCATCACCGACGGTCACACACTTTATAAACCTCGACGCGCTCATCTCCGCCGTCAGATTCGGAAAAAAACTCTCTAAATCCCTTTTGTGTCTTCTTCTTCAAATCATCGACATTCCTTAGAAGCAAATCTACTTCTAGCTCAATAACCAAATTCGAACTCGCGAGCTTGTGAATCTGGAAAGCAGCAAATAGCAGAGAACGGAACAAAATTCGAAAATGGCAAAGCGTAATCGATGAGAGATGAGAAGAAGGAAGAGGAAATGCTTTTTTTTTTGGCGGTTGATTGGTGACTTTGAGAGATGAGCCTGGAGGACTAAAGACAGAGTTAATACTATACAACTATTTGACAGCTAAGGCTACACCACCAAACACCTCCTTATCATATACACTCACCACCCCTTTTATATATTTTAAATTATATACTTTATATTTTCACCACGTATTTTATTATGTTTTGCTTTTTCAAATTTTGAATCCTCTCTTCTTCTTTTATGTCACGGATTTGAATTTTGAATGATGAGGATCTTCTTCTATCGGTGTTTTTAAAACAAAGGTAAGTACAAATGTCATGAATGTTTGTGAGTGTATTATCGGAATATATTTACTACAAGCTTTATTTATTGAATTTCCCAACTCATGGCATTTTTCCACATATTCGTAGGTTTAATAAAATCAAATTGAAACTATTGGGGTTTGATTATTTAAACTCAAACTAATCAATGTTGGTATAAGAAGTTGTTTATCCGTCTAATCCTCTTGGTACCTTTCATCTACCGATATATGGTAAGAAAATATATTAACTAGCTTCATAAAACTCAAGCAAATTATGTTTGTTGGCCATCATATTTTATCTTTTATATATTTCTAGAAGTTTGTCACATTCACAGAAACAACAACTAAAGTTGTTATCTTATTTTAATCATTATTCATTGAAATCTATATCATCGTGTGCTTGGTAAACATTCTAACGCTTCAAAACTAGATAATAAACTTTGTTTGGTTATCGATTATTTATTCCCGTATTGGATATTCATATAAGTTAACACCGAGTACATTCAAATGATTATACGAGACTTTATAGTATTACCCCAAAAAAAAATCAAATTGAATGTAATACGAGACTTTATAGTATAGCAAAACACGGAGAGACATGAATGAAATCTCTAATGATCATTGGATTTGGCAACTCTCATCAAGAACGTGCCACTTAGTGTTACGGCACGATTCCTAAAAAAAGGTAAATATCAAATTATGTTCTATTTTTCTTATCGATTCCTTCGGATTACGAAACATAGGCGACCAGAGTCCAATGGGACGTGTGCCCAACTCAAACTAGGCCAACCAATAACAATCTACCACGTCACTGAATGTACCATCACCGAATCATAATCACACCAGACGGTAGCTTCGTTGTTACATTATCAATGAATCATAATTAGTAGTACTATAATTAGCATCATGTTTTATTTTTAGCCCTTTCAATTCATCTCTCTTTGAAAATTTAATCAAAGTTATTTTCAGTTAACTGTTTTATCCAATGGCCGTAGACCGTAGTAATGTGTACAAACATTGACATTTTAGAACTTTTTTATCCTTTAACCACTCATATGGTCGTATTCTTTATTTACGAGATTCATGTGTAAACAACTACAAATACAGAACATATACAAGCCCTTTCCACGAGTAAGAGAGATTAGAGGAAGTAACTGCGGAACTAAATAAAGAAAAATGAAAGAGAAAGTGGAGGAAGGTATGAGTTAACCAAATCATTAAATCAAACAAGTTAAGCTAACATTTTCCCCTTCTTCGTCCCTACCAACTATTCACCAACCATTAACCATCCCACTTTATTAACTAACTCCATTTCATTTTAGTTATAAACAATACTCCATAATTATAGTATCAACTAACACCAACTCATTTAAAATCATAAATAGAAAATTTTGCAAATTTCAACTACATCCCCTGTTTCAGTAAGCTACAAAAGTAATCCAGAATTAACATGTCAAAAGAGATAAATTAAATGCAAAAGATTAATAATTAAAGTAATTGGCCCACTAATGCCCATAAAACCCATCTGTATAGGCCCATTATGCTTAAATGCAAGCCATAGCAACAAATTTTACGTACAGTGCAAGGATTTCGAAACAAAAGAAAGATAAAAAACACGAACCCTTTTGAATCATGAAGAAGTTCTCCACTGAAGCTCGATCTGAATCCGACCATTCTTGGAATCAATCAGATGATACTTTTCGTTGATTCTTCGATTACTCACAACATCACCAAGATTTATCACAACGTACCCAAGAGGTTCCTGATAAAAAGAGAACCACTCAATAATCAAAATTCTTGTTCTTGCTCAAAGATCTGAATTCAAAGAGATAGAATGTTGTTTCTACCTTAGGATGAAGCAATCGTGAAGAAGTACTTATGACTTCAACATGAAGCTTATCATTTATGGGAGGCTCATCTAATGGAAACTGAAAATCTTCATCCCATCTTGGCTCTCTGTTCTTCTTCACACGCTGCAAATCAAATCCAAAGTGTTTTAATGTCTTTCTTTATAATGTAAAGCAAGTTTTTTATTTGAGTAAAAGATAATTTTTTTTTTGTACCTTTGTTTTACGCTCTTCTCCTTTGAAGAGCAAACGAACAGAAGGGTTTGTGTGATATTTGCCTTCTAAATCTTCAGCTTCATGAACAATAACCACAAGCAATCCACCACCAGAAGGTGTTCCTTCTGGTGCTTTCTCTACTGAATTTGGATCATCTAAATTGTCTGGAATATCATCTTCTTTAAATGGTTTATATTCGACCTCAACGACAAGCTGTCCACGCGATTTCTCGCTAACGGGCTCGTTTGGTTCCATGGATTTCAAGAGCTCAAGTGTCATGAGTTTTGGCTCCTCTGGAGTAAGGTCTTTAAGTTGAATCACATTCATTCCT